TCCGTAAAGATATCCTGAAAATGAACCCCTCTCGTTTTGAAATTGGGCCTGTCTACAACACGAACCCTCGCGACAGGAAGACGCTTCGAGGTGGCCAGATGAAGCCGGTCGCCAAAGAATTGGTATTCGACATCGATCTTACGGATTACGATGACATTAGATCCTGTTGTGAAAAGGCAAACATTTGTAGCAAATGCTGGGCCTTTGTCACTATGGCAATGAAAGTCGTCGACACAGCGCTACGCGAAGATTTTGGTTTCGAGCACATATTATGGGTCTATTCTGGTCGTCGTGGTGCCCACGCCTGGGTTTGCGACCCCCGTGCGCGCAGCCTTCCAGATGATAGGAGAAGAGCCATCGCGGGCTACCTAGATGTCATCCGAGGAGGAAATTCGAGCGGAAAGCGGGTCAACCTCAAGCGGCCTCTGCATCCCCATATGTCTCGCAGTCTGGAGATACTAAAACCATACTTCGCTCAAACTACGCTGGTGGACCAGGAAACCTTCTCCAGCACCGAGCAGACGCAACGTATTCTTTCATTGTTGCCCGATAAGGGATTGAATGAATCCTTACGGAAACGATGGGAGTCATCACCCGACCGCAGCAGTGCCAATAAATGGGCGGATATCGACGCCTTGGCCAAGACAGGCAAGAGCAGCACTCTCAACCCTACTACACTGCGAGACGCTAAGCAAGACATTGTTCTCGAATACACATATCCGCGCCTGGATTCCGAGGTCAGCAAAAAGATGATCCACTTGCTCAAGAGTCCATTTGTCATTCACCCTGGCACTGGTCGCGTGTGTGTTCCGATAGACGCCCGAAAGGCGGAACAGTTTGACCCTCTCGCGGTGCCTACAGTTACGGAGCTACTTGCGGAGATCGATGCATGGGATGCGGAGCATCCGAGCAATAATGCAGGTCCGGAAGTGGCAGAGGGCGAAGGCAGTGTACCCGAATCTGATGCTAGGGGAAGTCGCCGACTGCAAGACTATGAAAAGACGAGTCTGAAGCCCTACGTCGACTACTTCCGCTCATTCATTGCCGGGCTTCTGAAAGAAGAGCGGACGGGCAAACGAGAAAGGGCCGACGATGCGACTGAGGTCAAGACCGAAAGCATGGAGTTCTAGACATTCCCTGCCAGTTCTATGTTGCGTGTTTGGCTTTGATCGTTGATTCGGATTAGCATGTCGGATATGATGATACATTTTATGGGGAACGGGATTGGCGTCATCGTGCATTGCAATGGCTGGACACGCTGGAGTTTACTTTTATTTTTCTTGGTCACTGCAACCTTATTCATCATTTCACGTAAATAATCATTTTTTTTCTGCCATGTTCTCAGAACTGTTCCTCGGCACATAGTGTTGACTGTCACCCTAAGCTTCTTCATTTGGAATGCGGAGCTCCGACGGGAAACCTCATTTCAGCCTCAACCCCGCGCCGACGATGCTCTCAACTACTTAAATGAGAGACCCTGGCTCGATCATAAGCTTCAATCATCATGCGAGGCAAACATGGCAACAGACAACACCACTGCAAGCCCACTAGATGAGCAGTTCAAGACCCTCGTCCAGGAAACATTGGACCACTGGCACGTCCCAGGCATTTCAATCGCAGTAGTCGATGGAGACAACACCTGGGCCAAGGCAGGTGTCTCATACATCCCCAATGATCAAGACAATATACAAGGATTTATTATTAACCGATAAACACAGGGCTATGGCATCGCGGCCTTCCCCGCTGAGCCCGTAACTCCCTCGACACTCTTCTACGCCGGAAGCACCACCAAAGCCTTCACCGCAGCCCTGATGGCCACTATCGTTGAAGACAACGACACCTACCCCCAAGTACACTGGGACACGCCCATCAGCCAGCTCATCCGCGACGACTTCGTGCTACACGACGAGCACGCAACCGAACACACCACCATCGAAGATGCCCTATCCCATCGCTCAGGCCTCCCCCGTCATGATCAAGCCTACGGCAACCGTCTCACCCGCGACGAAGCCGTACGCACAATAGTACGCCAGCTGCGCCATCTCCCATTGACCGCTCCTCCGCGCACAAAGCTCCAATATTGCAACCTCATGTACGTCGTCGTCTCGCACGTTATCGAAACCCTCACCGGCGGAAAATGGCTAGGCGATACCTTAACTCGCACCATCTGGCATCCCCTCGGCATGAAATCTACCTACTTTAACCTCAATGACGCCAAAGCATCCCCTCACCACCTGGCCCGAGGATATTACCATACCCCCAGCGACGGCGACAATGACAATGACAGTAACCACTACCACGAAATCCCGTGGATGCCACTAGACGAAATCTCCGGCGCCGGGAGCATCATCAGCAACGTCGTCGACTACGCAAAATGGGCGCGCGCATTACTCTACCAAACCGAGCCCCTATCGCCAGCCGTATATAAAGCGATCTTCGAACCGCGGACTCTACTACCCTCGGAGGAGCCGTTCACGGGCCCGCGCGCATACGCTCTGGGCTGGTACACGGGCGTGTACCAAGGCGTGCAGTTCTTCGAGCATACGGGAGGCATGAATGCGTTTGGGGCGGAGGTAATTTTGTTCCCGAGGTTGAAATATGCGGTTGTCATGTTGGCCAACACAGCCAGGACGTCGAATTACGCGCAGAAGGCGCTGGCGTTTCGGTTGGTGGATGAGAAGCTTGGTGTGCCGGTTGAGAGGCGGTTTGATTGGAATGCGAAGTATGTTTTGAAGCAGAAACCCACTCGTGATGTTTGCAATGCTAACGGTTTTCTTTCTAGGAATATGGCGCATATAGAAGAGGAGAGGAAGAAAGCCCTTGATGCTATTCATAAGGCCCCCGCGCATGTGATTCCGCATTCTTTGGAGCTAGGGGAATATGTTGGGACGTATGTGCATCCCGGCTATCAGACGGTTGAGATCTATCTTGATCAGTCGAAAAATATATTGCGCGCTGACCGGGATCGTACGACCTGGCCGGAGTACCTGAGCTTTAAGCATGTTAATGGTGAGCATTTTCTCGCTATATCGGAGCATGTTGGAGACTTGGGGGCTCTCTTTCCTGATGTGTACGCGGCGGAGTTTCGCATTGGGGAGAAAGGGAAGCCGTGCGCACTTGGGGTAGCGTGGGAAAAGACTATGAAGGAGAAGATATGGTTTACGCGGTTGGATTAATTGTTTGGAGCGATTGATGTCTGTCTCGGTCTAAAGAGGGGGAGTATCAATCATTTCAACAGTGGTACCTTGCGAGGTTCAACTGAGCATCTACTATTAATATACATGAGCGCACTGCAAATAACAGTGGCAGAATTATTGAAACATGATTCCGATATTTTCATGACGGATTGTCATAACCGTATTAACTTTTAAAGAACACCATCCACGCTTAAGCGGAGACGAAGTTCTTGACGTCTGTGGATAGGGTTAGCCAAGTATCATATATAGGGATCTAATAGGATGTCACGTACTCTCGAGCCAGCGAACGTACTCCTTCTGCTCCTTAACCTGGATGTAGTCGGGGATCATGTTGGCAAGCTCGGCGTTGATGCCCCTCTCGTCGAGGTAGCGCTCGAGGAAGGTCTGCAGGTCCTCATCGAGGTTCTCAAAGGGAGGACCAGCGTACATGCTCTGTCTGGTCCAGTCCTTCTCGGCAGTCTGGGCGTGGGCCAGGTCGGACTTGTTGAAGTAGGAGACTTCCTCGATCTGGAAAAGGCCGTCCTGAGCAACAGTCTGGATCAGGAGGGCGCCGTTGCTGGGCTTCTCAACAGTGATGTTGACACGGGCAGGGAAGCTAGGCTCAAGGTCGCGGTCCAACTCATCGCCTTCGCGGTCAGCGGGAGCGACGCGGTCCTCAGCGTGCTGAGAGACGTTGCCAGAGCGGCCCTGGTTGACGGGCTGGTGGCCACCGAAGTCCATCTCATCGAGAGCAGCATCATCGAAGTCCTCCTGCTCGCTGAGGTTCTGAAGGTCGGCGACGGTGAAGGTGAGGCGGATCCTAATGATTGAACGAATCGTGAGAAGGAATGTCACAGTAGAGGGGGAAAAAGATCAGTGACATGGGTTCTTACTCTTCGTTGCCGAACTTCTTCGTCAGGACAACCTCCTGCTCACCAGGGACGTCCTTGACCTGTTCACCAGTATATTAGCTCTGATAGACGGCTTAATGAATATCCAGCGAAGAGCGTACCTCCCAAGAGTTGTTCTGAAGAACATACTGGATGTTCTGAACGGAGGACTCGAGGTCCTCAAGGCCAGAAGCCTTCTCGTGCTTCAGTTCGTCCTCAAGCTTGGCGACGAGCTCAACATCGCCTACAATCATCGAAAGGCCCATGTTAGCATGATTCTTCCATAGATCCGCAACTGACAATTAACAACAGGGTTCTGTCTCATTCCGCCATGAGAAAAAGCAATGCACAAAGACTCATTCAATCGCTGTTCTCTGGAAATTTTCCTACACAAGCAAATAACTCATATATTCTTACCTTCGGCAGGGGACTGCTTGAAGACGCGGGATGTCGAGAAAGCAGCATAGGAAGGTCTCGTAATCTGCTTCAGAGAAGACTGGAAGGCATTCTTGGGGACCGCGGACACCGGCCGGAAAATGGCGGAGCGGGAAGAGACAGCGACAGAGCGCGAGATGGTGCGAGGCACGGAGCGAGCGAGAGTGCGGAGGGACATCATTTTGAAGGATCGAGGATGAAAATGGAAAGTGTTAGGAGAAGAGGAAAATTGGACGGATGATGAAGGATCGGAAAAGAAGACAAGCTGATGATGGATGATGTTACCGCCCGCCAAGACTGGAGCTCTGCAATGAACTGCCAGACCAATCACGGGTCGCAATGCGGGACTCATGCCATCCATCGCATTTCGGCATCATGAAGTTACAACTAGTCATGGTTTGGATGATACTGTGATGAGAAGCATTCTGGTTACCCTCAAGGCTCTAATGGACATTATACAGCTACAAAAAATGATTCAACAACTTTTGTAGAATTCTATGTGCAATCGTAACGCCGTTATGCCATCCATCTCTGCGCATACTGCGAATCTTCGATCTCCCAAACTGAAATGCAGAAAGAAAACTAGAACTTTTGATGGCTCATGACATGCCCTTCGGCGGGAATACTGAAGGTTGTTTTGCTCCATCCTTAGTGATGCGAATGAACTTCATCGTGCTCAGTCCGGACCAGTCTCCGTTCCACGAGGCGAGGGCTTTGAGAACACTCTCATCGCTAAAGTCGGGCATCCAAAAACCCGTCTTAAACTCGCGATTCTCAACGTCTGTTCGCTGCAACAATGCTTCTTCGCGCTTGCTGGGTGGTCTGCCTTTCCGTCTCTCGCTCTGTAGTTGTTCGATCTCGGGCACGCTGCGGTTGATGTACCTATAGTTGAAGATCGTAAGTATATGCGATTTTCGCGCTTGACGAACAGTGTGGCGCACCTGACAACGATGTCCTTCATTTCATCCTCTGACATCGGAGCTTGGCCTTCTGGGACACTCTCGTGGAAATAGGCGATCCGTTCCACTAAACAGGAGAAACATTAGTTATCGCAACATCGAAGCACAAAATCCCAACGGAAACTGCCGTACCATATGTCTGTCTGGCCCGCGACATGTTGGCGGAGACACGAGCGACTCGATCTTCTCTGGCATTGGCTCGGCGCAGTCTTCTGGCATCTCTGCTAAACTCGTGAAGAGCCTCAACGGCGCCTCTCTTCTTGGCAATATGCTTGGTAACTTTCTGGAATGTCTTCGGCATGGTGGGCAAATGGTTTGGTCAGATTCTTGACACCTTCCACAACGAATGAACAGAAACTTTTGATCCGACAGTCAAAAGTCGAATTTCATCTTTTGCGGAGAATTTCTTTTTTCTCGGGCAGAATCTAAAGGCGGTGATATGAGGTGGCGGCACCGCCTCGACAAGACCAATCAGGAGAGCGGATGGATGGGGCCTCCCCATCGCGTTCCTTGCGCGTCAGAGGGACCAGGGAGGTAACATTCCAATCTTGTTGTCTGGGTCATCCTCATTTCGCGACTGTTTAGGTGCTGGTCAGGCCTGGTGCATGCTACAGAGCACTGATGTCCTCTAATTCCCATGTCCGTCGTCAAAATTGACCTCTAAGCACCAACAGACACCAGTTGATGTCTGTTTCGGCGGTGCTACTTCCCTGAACGAGGAGTATTCGGTCTTCTAAGGACGCTGACAATGGGCATTAAAGGTATGCTTCTTATTGTCCTTGACTCGCGAAATACTACATTTGCTTACACACAATATAGGGCTTCATGGCCTGCTCAAATCGATCCAAAAACCATGTCACCTGAAAAAGTTTAGTGGGCAGACCCTGGGAATTGATGCATATGGATGGCTACATCGAGGCACTGTCGCCTGCGCGGTGGACTTGGTTTTGGAAAGGCCTACTAGGAAGTACGTTCATAGCTAACAAGGCTGTATGTCACCATCCCTTTCTCACAGGATCGCAGACACATCGACTTCGTCTTGAATCGAGTCCGCATGCTCCTCTACTTCGGGGTAACTCCATATCTTGTATTCGACGGCGATGAGCTGCCAAGCAAGGCTGGAACCGAAGTGGAGCGTCAAAAGAGACGGCAGGACAGCAAAGCCCTCGGTCTGGAACTCCAGCGAAAAGGGCGGATCGCAGAGGCATACCAGGAACTGCAGAAGGCCGTTGACGTAACGCCCTTGATGGCGCGGGAGTTAATAGAGGAACTGAAGAAGATAGACGTTCAATACGTCGTGGCTCCGTACGAGGCAGATGCGCAACTGGCCTATCTGGAACAGCAAGGCATTATTGCTGGTATCATTTCAGAGGATTCTGATCTGCTCGTCTTTGGTGCAAAGCGGTTGTTATCCAAGCTCGACCAACATGGCGACTGCATTGAGATCAACCGTGCTGACTTTTCGGCCTGCCGAGAGGTAAGTCTGATCGGGTGGACAGACGCCGATTTTCGACGTATGTGCATTCTCAGTGGCTGCGATTATCTCCCCAACATTGCACGCTTAGGGTTGAAGACAGCCTACCGAAGCATTCGGAAGTACAAGAACGTAGAGCGGGCGTTGCGGATGCTTCAATTTGACGGTCAATACCACGTTCCCGCTGATTACCTGGACAACTTCAGACAGGCGGAGCTTACGTTCCTCTATCAGAGGGTATTTTGTCCGAAAGCTGGGAAACTGGTCACCCTAACACCGCCTGAAGCTGATGTCAAGTTGGAAGAACTCACGTTCATCGGTGGTGACGTGGAACCTGACGTCGCGGTCGGAGTTGCTCGTGGCGATCTGGACCCGACGACAAAGGAACGTCTTGTACTAAAGCCATCGCTCGCAGCTAAGCCGGCCGATAAGAGGCTGACCAACACGATAAGCCGTCGACAGACCCTGGGCTCTTCTGCTGAACTCAAGCCAAACAAGCCGATCAACTCCTTCTTCACCCCCAAGCGCGTTCCCTTGGCAGAGTTGGACCCGAATAGTCTCAGCCCCTCTCCCAGCCAACAACGGCTGCTACAACGCCATGCGAACAACTCTTGGGACAGTGTTCCTGCGCCATCACGGCCAGCACTCATGCGATCTGCGTCATCAGTCGGGTCGTCGAACCGGGCTTCTAGCCCTTTGATTAGAAGTGTGGAGCGTAATGCCTTCCTGGCACATTCCTCCAGAACAACGAATTTGCAGCCCGCTAAGCGGCAGCGACTATGTTCTGATGCAGAGGAAGCTAACCTCCCGAATCCCCCGGATTCCCGCAGCAGATTCTTCTCCTGTAGTGTTAACGATGCTAGTCCAAGCGCACAGAAGGCTACCCGCACCAAGAAGGCGCGCAAGTCTATTTTGGACGTCTTCTCCGATGATTCTGCAGAAGACCTCATGACACAGCTGCCAGACCCGAGCCAGGCGACTGAAACTCCCAGTCGTGTCAATTCATCCTCCATCGATGACAGGTCGATTCAAACGCCTGCTGCAGCTACTTCTGAGCTGGGTGCTCCTGAGTCCCCTGCGGGAGACTGCAAAGAGAAAACTCAAGAGCAGAATTCACCCACTTCTGAACAAGCTTCGGAGAAGAGATCGGATGATGTTGGCGACGGCTATACACCAAACCTTTTGCCTGTCGCAAACTCTCCCACGCTTTCAAAATACGTCTTTCAGGCCGGAACTGCTGGTGTGGGTAGTCAAAATGATAAGCTTGGTGGTAAGGGTCATCAGTCAGGTTCCTTGAATGAGCACAAGGCGACTACCGGAGTGCGGCACGGCTTGTTGGGAACACCTCCCAGACGTCAGCGGACGACGCCATTGCAACGGCTAGGCCAAAGCGCCTTGGCTCGGTCTCGATCACTCAATTGTGTTTCTCCTTCCCTGGCCGCATTTAGAGCCTCCAAATCACCGGCAAAGAGCCCTGCAATTCCAAAGCTTGATCACAAGCCTGTGCGAAGCTTGGCAACTCCCAGTCAAGGCAGTGAAGACATGATAATTCCGGATAGCGAAGATGAAGAATCCGAGGGCGAGACCCGAGCCCCAGTGGGACTTGCCCCGTTTGATGTGCGACGATTCTCGTTCATGGGTAAATAGAATCTTGGGTTCTCGAAGTGCAGTTACATCTTAGACATTGGCATTATTTGGAAGTATCTTACATGCGTGGAACCGGACCTACACTCGCTCTTCCTCGATGTGAAAGCCCTCTCTGGATTTCATTTCATGGCCTTCACGTTGCACCACTTGATTTTCCTATACATATAGCATCGACTCTTATATGCGCTCGCCAGGGCCCTGTCTTCAAGACACAGGCTTGGACACCTGCTCCCGTTATGGGTCCTTACAGATTTTGATTATACTTGGCCATGCCGGAAAATTTGGTAGGCCTTCCGTGACAGGGCTTTTGATAAATATCCTCTAGCCTTCCAGCGCTCTACACATACCACATCCAGTAGATGAGTTATAATAATTAGATACCTCTCAAATAAAGCATTTGACTACTGTGGCCACGGACGTGAACCAGTAGATACACACAAGTAGTCATTGTAGGGTCCTCTCTGGAAGCACCTTGATTCTGGGCATGTGTTCGATATTCAAGTGGTCCCAATATATAAGTGCTTTTGAGATTTACAAGTAGGAAATGTTGTCTCGCAGCACCTAGCTTAATGAAATGAGAGGCTTGATGGGGAACGACAGAGTAACGCAGCTGCTACTGGTCGTGCAAGGGCTCGGTTCTCTATGAAGCGCGTTATCTAAAAAACAAGTATCACCGGTCAACAATTCTTAGTATCAGTAGCATAATATGTATTGTACTACTAGCAATACCAATGAGCAACCACTGGTGCTCCACTTTCATGAATGTCAAAAATAACTCCTAGTAGATGAATTATACTAAACTGGTTATATATATATATATAGTACTATCCAGTACAGTACGACGCTAAAATGTGAGCAACAAGGCAGCTATTGCGAGCGTTGTGAGAATAAGAATGAGACTAGAATTAGCTCTAGAATAGCATCTGCAATGCCAGCTGTGGGCGGATATAATTAGAAGATGATCCAAAAGTTAAGCAAGGTACCGATGGAGCAGCAGGTACTATTGAATATAATTCTTGATTTCCAAATTGGAGGCTGGACCGATCAGGTGCCGATAAGCCAGTGGGGCTGATCTGATCCGGCTAGCGTTATCGGTGGACACGATCAACCTTCCCGATATGGACAAGCGCCAGTAACGGGTAAGAATACAGCAGGCGGTGAGGAATGGTTACCGGGGAACGGGAGGCGGGCCAACGCGGTAAACAAAAGACCAGTGGCCCAGCCTCCCCCATTGGGCCACTTCCGCCCGTCAGTTAGTTGTATACGCCCTTCCCAGCCTCCTCGATTATCACCACCATCATCGCCATCGCCATCCACCCTGCCGCTGTGCGATTCGAGGTCTTCGGAGGATTCGTTTAGCTACGAGCCATTTCTCCCTCTCCCTCTCCCCTTCTCTCTCTTGCCCTTCCCCATCTTCCCCCCTCCCATATTCCACTTGCCTCTTTTCGGCATACTGCAACCCATCTATCTCAACCCACAAGACCGATTCGTTACTTTTTTCAGCATTCTGACTGCCCTTAGATCTGTCAGGGTCCAACGTGGGACAGGGGAGCTATCCATTCTTTCGATCTCCCGCATTGACACATTCCCAATACTCCATCGCCCACGAGATCCGTCACATTCCATTCCAACCATATCGGTGCTCTCCCTCACCAAGCGCGTGCTCCGCCTTGCGACCCTATCGACAGTCGACTCGGGGCCCTGTCCCTACCACAACATTCATACCGCTCGTCGTCGGGTGGTGTCCGACAGAGTGAGCCGCACCGGACACTTAATACTCCTTCTCGGAGTCCCGAGAAGCGAGTTGGACTGGACAGAAAGAGGAATTCGAAGAACATATTGCCCTAGATGCCGGGACTAACAGCGAAGCTACCCCGTATGCCTACATTACGTGCCTCCATGTTGGATATTTCTCTAGCGATACTGACTGTCGATATCTAGGGGTTCTGCAACTGGTCGGGTACCACCATGTGTTGATGATTATCATCGCGGTGGCGATCATCCTACTATGTGAGCAGTCATTTCCCGACTCTCCCCAAAAATGCGACTAACTCTGTTCCAGCGTTACTATTAGCAGGGTGCTCATCGTCCTCCCCGCAGATCCCCGACATCTTCCTGATCTCCATGTACTATGAGCGCTACAAACCAACTTTCAACCTCGCTCAGGTAGATCCGGGGGTAGTGACAGCAACAGCAAATATTGTGGGAGGAGCCGAGATGGAAGTCCGTGTGGGTTATTTTGGCATCTGTGTACAGCCAGACGCCGGATCCTACATTTGCAACTCGAATGCGACAGCATTGGCGGAGATTGTCACAGTCGACCAAGATCCGTTGAACCTGATTTGGGTAGCATCGACGTTCAAAGATGCAGTCGTCTTCCCATATCTTCTGTACGTTCATACCCTCCACCATCAAGAAGGCGTTTTGACTAACGGTTATAATATAGAATTCTTGCTGTCATTCTCGCTTTCTTCTGCTTCGTCATCCTCGCCACCTTCCCTGGATGGCATGACGAGCTAGACCCTAGCGGTTCCGAGATCGAAGCCAGGCCGATTCCGTCGCGGCCTGTATCCCAAGCAGCACTAGCCTTGACTTTTGTAGCCTCGGTCTTCGTCCTTGTGTCCGTACTATGGCAGCACACCGCATCCGTAGCCGCCAGCACGATAGTTCAGGATCTGGGCAACGGAAGTGTCAAGAGTGGCGTGGGTACATCTGCCATGGTTCTCGGCTGGTTTGGATTTGGACTTCTGGTGGTCGTGACGATAGGACTGCTAGTGATGATTCTGAGCGTCAAACTGATCCAGCAGTTGACGGACTAGCATGATCTCTTTTCCCTGTTTTTCTTTCTTGTTTTGATGCTGCATTATATCTGCTTGGATTGGTTTTGGTTTCCTTCCCCCGGACATATTACACCCCGATTCCCCTTCCCCTCAGACACGACACGACTACGCACGACCAACCCAGCAAAACGAATAATCACGACCACACCCACACCCACACCCACCCTTCAAACTCGAAACGATTGAATTTTATTATGGATCTTTTTACGGCACATGGATTACGGATATGGATTGCTATGGATTACAATGGATATGGAAATACGGGAATCATGAAGAAATGCATAATGAGCATTATTGTCATCACCATCACCATGAAAACATATTTGAGACCGTCTGTTTTTAAGTGTCTCACCCGGCTGAACAAAGATTACATTTACTATATGTTGAAAGCCAAATGATTGATTGAATCACTGCCAAATATTCCCCGCTGTCTTTTCTTTTTTTTTTATGTACATTCTGTCGGTTTGGCTTGAATTGTGTCTATGGACGGTTCTCGTTGTTATGGTTAGTATTGATGATTGAGCATGTATAAAAGATGATATGGTTCCTGCGATTGATTGCATGATTGATTTTAAGTTTCTTAGTCTAGATGTAAGTAACTGCAAATGCAAATGCAATGCACAATACACAAATATACAACATGCACGAATTACAACACGCACATATTAAGTCAATTATCCTCGGGGTATTATAATAAGCGAAATACTTCTATACAACGCGCTATATGAAAAAAACCATCAAACCATAGCCATTATGAGCAAACATAACAACCCTATACAGAAAAGAATCACACCAACCCCACCCCTCAAATATCATGTCTCGCATACCTACTCGCCATCCTCAACCTCCTCCCAAACTTCAACAACACAAACGGAAACGGCACAAAAAGCACACACAAACACCCGAGCAAGGTACACGCCCACCCGACCCCCAGATTATGAAACATAGCGGTAGCAAACAACGGAAACCCCGCGCCAAACGACGATCTCAAAAAGTCATTTCCCGCCAGCACCGACGCCGCATACTTCGGATACGCATGGGCCTGGTAACAGAAAATGCAATTGAAAATAAGACACCCACCGACCGCGAAGAACATCGACGCAATGATGGGGACGATCCAATGCACGGAGGCGAATTGGCCCGTCCAGCCGAACCAGAAGAGAGAGATGGGGAGGGCGAAGCATCCGACGCACGCTGGGGGGAGCTGCCGTTCCGGTGTGATGTTCCAGTTCTCGTCGAAGTGTTTGGCTTGGTAATTCCATTTCCACCAGAAGTAGCAGGGGATGGTGATGGCGCAGGTGGAGATTAGGATACCGAGGAAGGCGAGGCCGCTTTGGCCAACGTTGAAGCCGTGGATTTCTTCGAAGATTATGGGGAAGGCTTCGAACCAGATGTAGAGAATGCCGTAGATTAGGGCGATGTAGAGGTTCATGACTAGAACGATGGGTTCGAAGAAGCAGAGTTGGAAGGGGCGGACGAGGGCTTCGAAGATTATGTCCTGTGTGAGGGGGGTGTTGTTAGTGAGGGTGGACTGATTGTAGGGATTTGAGGAGGGAGGAGAGCTTACTGTCTTCTTCATGTTGGCGACCTCGATCTCGGCTTCGCAGCGGTAGTCGGAGTTGCCGGTGATCTGGCGGACACGACGAGCTCGCCGGTACAGGATATTGGGTGCAAATGTCTCCGGGAGGAAGAAGAATAGGAGAACCCAAGCAAAGCCGGAGACCCAGAGGAGCTGCCATATGGTCCACTTCCATCCTTCTGCTTGTGCTGCGAATCCGCCTACCAGGGGTCCTAGGACTGGGGCAGAGATGGCGAATGCTCCCCATATGATGATCATGTAGTCGCGCATCTTAGGGTTCCAGATATCACCCATGGATGCTGCGCCAGTGGCTAGAGCTGGGGATCCAATGAAGCCGGTAAGGAATCGAAAGGCTAGGAGCATTCCGAAGTTTGTGGCGTAGATGACGGCAAATTGGAAGAAGACGAAGACGAACAGTGTCAGGACGTAGGTAGGGCTTCGACCAACGGGAGGTAGTTCCGACAAGGGAGACCAGACCATTGGGCCTATTATGCTATTAGTTACCATTATACTAAGATTTGGAGGATTGTAGCAGATGCTGCTAGCACATACCCAAGCCATATCCCAATACGAACAGGGTTAGTCCCAACGTGGCAGCCACTGTGCTCACTCCAAACTGCTCACTGACGCCGGGGATGCCAGGGGTGTATATCGCAGATCCGATATAGATAGCGAAAGTCAGAAGCCAGATCAAGCTGCTAACAAATAGCTTCTTGAATGTGCTCCAGTTCTGCGGATTCTATATGCCTGTCAGCACGAAATCAAGCTATCGGATGTAGACGGAGACAGTGCGTATGATTTATAAACGTACCTCAGGATCATCTGGCCCGCTCCAGTCGATGACAAGTGATGCATTGGAATTTGGTTGCGCTCCTTCTGCCCCATCATGCCTAGCTGTCGACGTGGTTGATAGGCGACGTGACGCTCTGGACGCCTGCGAAAGCACAGTATAGAGGCCCAGGTTTTCCTGATCGCTTTCAGAGGCTGCAGCTTCTTCATCTTTGACCTGTTTCTCCGTCTTCAGGTACTCGGTCCACATGCCCGTGTCATTCTCTTCGGGGTAACGCAGCCATCGCTTTCCGCTGAAGATGCGTACTAGCTTACCAAATGCCGAGTCTCGAATAGTTTCCATGACGTGGGAGGACTAGTCGATCTCGGGGGCCCGAGGGTAACATAAACACACCGAGTCTATATCACCACGAAACATCAGCGGAGACATACTTTATAAGAACAAGATGCAGTGGCAATCTGCAGCTATTAGAGCGATCCTCTGGTCAATGAACTCTAAAGCGAGTTTAACAGGCGAACGTCATCTTGGCCGCGGCCATAGCCGTAATCCCGGATATAAAGCCGTATATCCGCCGGAAAGCTGTCGACAGCTCAATGGACGTTGATCCGTCGGATATAGCTGCTAGTCTGGGCTCTGGTCCCTTGTATGATTTATGTCCAATACAAGAAACACTGTAGCACGTCACTCATTCCATTATGAGTTGCGTCGCAGCTATTAGAAGACTTCGTGGTTGTGACGTCACGACTTGTTGAGCATCCTGGGGACATGCCGGCAGAAAATTTATCACTCAGAACTATCCAGTTCAGTCTTAAGTAGCGGTTATTGGTTTGTACTTAATCAAGATCTATTCCCGTCAGATATTGGAATGGTGTGTTGGATATGCTCAGCATGTGCAGTATCACAACCGCTGAGTCTGGATAGGCGTCCAATACGTGGAAGCTACCCTCCTCAGTAGAAGACCACCACTGCGACCCCGTACAGTAAATCTGCGAAGTGGATCGCGCGCGAACCGCAGGTCCCTGTCCATGGATTGACATGATGTCGAGGATGAATTAGAGTTTTGCGGATCTAGCAAGCTTCCGGCGGATGCTCGGTTGCTGCCAGCGAAACGGTTTACCCTTGACGCCCGTAAGTTCCGCAGCTGGCTTTATGGCCATACCGTGAGAATCCTCATCAATAGTATCGCAATCCACTTCTTATTTGATTTAATTAGCTTGGTAGTAAAGGGGCACGTCGATACCTTTACTTCTCTGCGCACATCACCATTCTTGCATGCAGTAAGCAGCGCAATCATTGCCCGCAGACCGGTTCATGCGCCTTTGCAGGAATAACTCCTTTGTCGCTCTTGCATCATCCTGGTATATTAATGTGGCAAGTGTGTGCTCAACGACTAATTGGTTGCTTCAGAACCCAGCTATGTCTAAACAATAGTCATCGGAAGACGTGTCCAGGATACTGGCAGGTAAGGCAGAGCCACAGGCATATATATTCAGTTGTAAACTACCGAGCACGAAGGACCGTCTCTATGAAATTCGGAATCTACATTTTAGCAGTCACCACTTCCCCACACGCAAATTTCTATTGTAGATCCCGACTTGGGCTTAGGAATCATAGCCATTTCTTCCTAAAGTTGAAACAGGCGCCAATGGTATCCAGAGTAGGATGAGTCTTTCTCCAATCTCATTCCCCGACAAAAGTGTAGCACTGATGCTTTCGTCATACTAAGTAAGTCGTATACTGGAATAGATACGATTCAACCCAAAGAACATGGAGACGGACTCTACATTATGTAACAAGATATGGTATCGGAAAGGGACTCACCTCCATTCCTTAAATCAAGTTGAACACGATAAAGGCCTTCCCTCAACTGAGACTGCATTAGGGCATAGGAGACAGAAAACAGCTGAAAGTAATATTGTGCCATACTTCAACGTGCTATTGTAGAAGGATAACCGAGCCACAATAAAGAGCCGATTATCATTATGGCTGGGCTCCACGGCCTGCATTGTCTTGCGTCCAATGATAAAACCAACGAATTGAAAAAGCACAGTTGCATTTCCTGCGGGGTGCTGTACAGACTCTGTTGAACCAAATGTGAATCAGTACTAGGGCCCCTTGTTGACTTGTGGATATTGATATAAAGCATCACTTTACTGTGGATGGCAGTACTACTACTCATTGAAATTGGTTCGTATTTCGGAACATCAAATATTGATCAATATTCATGCTCTACTACCAGCTTGATTACCATCCCATGTCCTACTATCAGACTGTAGAGGTAATGGCAAAGGACGAGTAAATGATCTCATCTACCCCAATACCATTGTATCGATCTACTGTTCATATCACTAAACAGAGCTCACTCCGAACCCTAGACATGACTTCACCTACCAAGATGACTGTAAGAGGACCACCGATCAGGCATCAATTCAAATTAGCTTCTGGAGATAACATGAGACTGACTCAGGTATGTGCAAGGCTGAGAGCCTGTTGCTCCTGTCATTGGCAGCTGTCGTAGGCTACATAAGAGACAAGGCTATGTACATATTCGTTTTTGTGTCTCTGCGTATGCGACCATATGAAAACACATACTGCAGCTTGCATGGTCCAACCACAATCAGAATCGCGAACGCAAGAGTGTTCCGTCCAATTTCATTATCGCGCATATGCATATTGACTCATTTATCATGATGCACCGAGCACTCATGGAAAAAATGTACAGCACACGCAGATATCACAGACATACGACCACGTAGCCCCACATGAAAAATAGATAGGCAGCATAGATGACTTACGCGCATATCAGATAGAAGGAAGAAAAGAGTCAGCTGCCTGATCACAGCTTTTCTCAAGACTAAGAATGCACATTTATAGTCTTGAAGTATCAAAATACTGCGCTATGTAAACTACCTTATCATAATGCTCTATATTATTATCATAGAACATAATAACTTAGGCCTAGCTAAAATCAACGACGTTCTCGCTAAAGGAGGGGTTGAAATATGCATGGAATGCGGGGAATTTGGAGTAGCCCCAAACCAAAGATGCCGGCGGAGAGTTCATTCGCTGACCCTCACAGAAACACATCCTTATCGGCCCAAACTAAGACCTTGCACTCCTGTTGAACTACAGTGTGGTAGTATAGATACCACCAGAAGCCCAATAGTTGTGAGTGGAGAATAAATCCGGATTGGATAGTGGAAGCTGGGGTTGAGATCCCTTGGAGTCGGCACGGCCCGTTCCAAATTTTGTATTGGTTGAATTTCTCGATGCTTGCGTATATTATTCCAGCTGATATGGTGCTATCGGCATTTTGCATGGGTGACGTGTATCGACTGATTTATTACGGTATTGTGGGATCATGCTATGATTGCAGCAGAAGTTAGCTTCGGAGATGTTGGTGTACTGTACCTTGTGTCGGAAGCTGTACTGTAGGCAGTCGGCCTCCGTGAGGTATGTTGTATGTGAGATCTTCGGTGGTTATGTGGAACTTATCATTAGCAGTAGCTTGTAGAGCAAGCTCCATTGATTCGATCAGGCGAATAGAACCCATAACAGAAGGTCAAGCGACACGCTACAATATTCAATGGCAAGAGAACACGACAACCAGAGGTTTGCACGGGACAATGATGTATATCCCTCATACAAACAAATGGAGAAGATACTGGAGGACTGTGCGGGTTAGACGCCCATGCGTCTGTATGAGCTAAGGACCTGTGGACAGTAGAGACTGTGACGCATTTAGCACTTGGTAGTCAGGTGTCGGGCTATTCGTGTGAATTGATGTGTTGGTCTTGAGTTTTTAGGTTTGGATTATTCTCGGTTCTCTCAATCTGGCAATTGCAGCGACTGTGAAGCGATATGGGAAAGATATAAAAGCCCCTTTCGTGTCTACTCAAACGGGACCAGAATTCAAGGAACAGAACCAGAAAGCACAGGTCAATAATAACGAACTAGATAGCACGCAGAAGCAAAATGGCTGCTGTCAAAGATCCTCAACCCCTGCCCCAAAGTAATGGGCAACTTGACTTATGCGGCTATTATTACGTCCAAGGTGACACCGGGGTTGTTAAAGGAGCTCAGACCAAACCGTGGTTTCGATCACAAGTAAGCTTCATTGTGCCCGTGATATTGACTCAAATGGCTAATCTGTCATAACCCAACCAGGCACTCAGTGGCTCCCTTCTGAAGCGTCTCAACAGCATTCAGCTTATAACTTCGTCCCACGACAAAGGATCTCAAGTCGCCGAAGCAAGCCGGTCCTGGTTCGAGCTTTCGATCCTCAGAAGCAATCCCCCGATTGAAGACCGCTGGATGAGCCATGAAAATAGGTTCAAGACACAAGACTACGAATATGTATGCAACGAGCAGCTCCCTAACGCACGATGACTGCAGCTTATACATTTATTTAGCACGAAGGAAGAGTCTTCACCAGACAAAGCGATATATTGAAGTCCTTGAAGGTGAATTGCAGCTGGATTTGACCTTTCCGGTCATAAGTGGACTGACTTGGATAATAGGACGGTGATTGTATCCAAGTCCACGCTGCCGCTGACTATGGACAGCCCACTGATCAAGAGGAGTCGGAAAATCATGACAAGAATATCCAAGTCCACGCTGCCGCTGACTCTGGACAGCCCACTGATCAAAAGAAGTCGGAAAATCATTACGAAGAGGGTATTTTGATATTCAGTGTCGGATGCCAGGGTAGTGAGAAACCCTTTGAACCTTCGAATGGTCCGAAGGCGGCTTCAAGCGTTGTCGATTTGGGGGCCACTAATCCAGGAGATTTAAGTAAGAAGATCCAGCAGGGCGAGGCGAAGGCTGTCATAGGTAATTTGGGATGGGAAAGCTGGGATAGGATTGAGGAGTACAAGTCACTCGCAGCAAAGGCTAATGAGAAAAAGAAGCATGTTCTGCTTGTCTTTGATGCGGAAGACCTACCAGATTTGACGGCTATAGACCGCCGTCTGTCCTGGGGTCAGACGGTCCAGAATATCTGGGAGCATGAGATGAAAGATCGTTGCAACACGATATGGAGCGAAACCAACGCGAACAAATATTTCCACCTTCTCGTCCAGCTCGGTTTGGAGGGCGCGATCTACAAGGGTTTTCAAAAGGACGCAACCGAGGTCCATCTCATCTACGAGCCAACCAGCGCCAAAGGCAGTTTCCTTCGCTCTTACTCGGACAAAGACATTGAAAATGTCAAAGTCGGGGAGGATACTGTGAAAGAGCGGATGAAAACGCTGACGGGGGAGCAGATGGGACAGCAGAGGAAAGACTTGAGAGAACAGGTAAGGAAACAGCTGAGGAAAGATGTGGGGGTTGTCTGGATGAAAGGCCTGAAGACCTCGCTGGAAGAAGAATGCTCCGAATCCATCAAGAATCTCGACATAATGCAGATCAGAGACGCAACAATGACTGGGATTAGATGGTCTCGTCGCTGTGCCCCGATGATGTATCCAAAAGGAAAGGCCAACCAATCCCAGCCCGCCGACAACCGCTTGACGCTCGAAACTGACTCAGAACCGGTGTTGGTGTCGGTGAAGCTTGATTTGAGAGATTCTCAGACGACTTCCAAAGAACCATTGGTCCTTAAAAGTCTGCCATGCACCCCCCAAAAGGCCGCTGTGGATACGTTGAAACAGGGATTTGAGTGTGTACTGCCATATATGCCCAGTGCCCGATTCGGCAACTTGGTCACGGCCGACCGGGGGGAAGTCGATGGCTTTCGAAAGATTGCCAACAAGGTCCATGAATGGTACACAACTGACACGCGTCCCATACCTCTATCCCTTGCTGTATTCGGACAGCCAGGGTCTGGAAAATCCTTTGGAGTGAAGGAGGTCATCAAGTCCATACTGGCTGCCGATGGGAAGGGAATTACAGATTTAGAATTCAATCTTTCGCAGTTTCGCCAAGAGGATGACCTCAGACACGCATTCGAAGTCATCCGGGATAAGACGCTCTCCGACAAGATTCCCGTTGTATTCTTCGACGAATTTGACTCGACCTTTAACGGCAACGAGCTGGGATGGTTGAGGCATTTCATCAAACCCATCACACAGGGAAAATACGAGGATGGTGCGGTAGAGCGACCACTGGGACGCGGCATCTACATCTTTATCGGAGGCACCAAGACAAAATATGATGACTTTTTCGCGGGAATAAACACTGATGGAGGGAATGCAGTGGAGACTATCAATTTCGCGACCTCAGAAGGCGAACTCACGACTTACCTTAGAGAGCTCGAGCTAGAGCTTAGCCCAACTCTAGACCCTTTGGAATTGGACGTCTCCAGTATGTCCCATTATGACGACTTGAAGAAGGAGTTCTACAAGATCAGGGACATTGGACTGGAAAAAAAGATCCCGCTGGTCTTCTTCAGAAACTTCGACAGCAATCTTGGCAGCGAGAAGTTGGGATGGCTCAAATACTTCCTCGCTCCAATGCAAGACGGTGAATTCTTCGACCACGGCAGCCGACACCCCCTCGGGCGAGCCATCTTTGTTTTTGAACAGGGGAAAGAACACTTTAACGGATTTCCTGAAGAAGATTTGGACTCACGCTTATTTCCAGGTGCGAAACTACCAGATTTCGTGAGCAGACTTCGCGGGCAGTTACAAATTGGAAACGTGCCGGCTGTAGAGCCGGGACAAAATAAACATGACCCTCTCGAGAATATTTTCACCTGGTATCTGAACGACAAGGAGGCAAGTAAGCCACTGTCGATTGGCTTGTTTAGGAAAGTCCCTGACCACAACTATGAAGTCAAGAAAAGACTTAAGAGTAATTTGCAAGGATATGTAAATGTTCTCGGGCCAAGCTTCTTGGAGGGAGAGGGGCAAGGAAGGGATGCGGACATGAACTATTTCCCCATCCGACGAGCGATTCTGCTTCGGAGCATGCTTGAGAGGATCTTTCACTTTGACAAAGGAAAACTAATCAACATGGATGATGGTGTCCTTAATGCACTGTTGTTCACCCCCAAAGTCCTGCATGGTGCCCGTTCCCTGGAGTCGATTCTGTCCATGAGCAAGATAACAAAAGGAGAGAGAATCAAGAAGCAAGATCTCTGCACAGAGAATCAGCGCATGTTGCATGTGAAGCATGAGGCCTTCCAGCAATTACTGGATAGTAGCGACGTATATCCGGGTACACAGGCTACACCAGAAAACAAGCAGCACTATGCTTGGATTGAACGGAAGTCGGGTAGAGCTTACAAGCACTAGGCCTGAGGTCTAGCGTCAGCGAAGAATTTACTATTCTGTCAAAACTGTCATTGATTTCAGTGTCAATTCTTACGCAGAATGATTTGATCACATTAGTTCTTCTTAGCTACAGACTGCCAGCTGAATTTCAAAGCAACGATTTTGCAATTGAATTGTTCTTTAGGGTTACTTTTATCCTTCTTTCCTTAGGCTCAAGCCTCCCTAAATAAAAATGCACTCTTTTCCATGAAGTAGAACATCCCCATCGACCACGTGATCATACCTGTTGAGGGTATTGAAGAGGGAGACTGAAAGCGAAAATATCAGCGTTGTGATATATACTATTGAAAGGTAAGGTTGTGGTAAGAGATGGTGGTAATATCGAGTTCATTGTTGGAACGGTTGAATGACATCAACTTGGGCCTCATGTGGTATCTATCAACTAGTCTGTATCATTTCGTGGACCCCTGCATCATGCAGCAGATTGGTCGGATGAGCAATTGCGGTACATAACCTTGGTGGTAGTGTGTCATTCGAGGATATCATTCAATAGCAGTATGCAACAAGTGAACATGAAATGAACAATCCAGGACACCGTTGTTAGCTTCAAAGAGCCAAGACTAATAGTTCATCACCGGGCCCCCGCCTGGTCCTGGTTTCTCCTCGTAGTGGTTCCCATCATACCCGCCACCATAGTCATCCAAGGATCGATACCCTCCTGGAGGTCCGGCGTCACGGCCACGGCCTCGACCACGGGTGCCACCCCGGTTCTGATGGCCTCTGCCTCGCTGTGATGACCCACGGCCACGCCCGCGGTACGAGCCACCTCGTCGAGGTCCATCATCGTGGTGGTTGCGGTTGTTGCCTCCATACCGCGGGTTATAGTGCGGCCTGCTATGGGGCGGTCCATCCTGAGTTCCATCTGGATACAGGATTTCTTCATCCCGCTCCTGCTGATGACGCCTCTTGTGGTTTTTATTCAAGAATTGACTCTCCCATTCGCCCTCATTGGGGTTCTCTTCCTCAACACGTAGGACAACTTTCTCTCCGACGACCGTCTCGAAAGTCAAGGCCTTGTCGGCAGGGACAGGATGCCAATTTTGAATCTTACCCGCGTCAATCGGACGAGCGCCTTTGCGCACCGCCAGCACTACCACGGGGTGGGGGTTCTCTGTGTAGTATTTCTCTGTGGCTGGCACAGGCGTCAGGCGCGCAGCCCAGACGCGGTTCTCGAAGCATGCAGTTCCAGTAACCTGCCAGCTCAATTTCTTACCGATGCCACCGACCTTGTCAAGAATTGACCGGGGCGCTGGACGGGGAGTGATTAGTATACTGTTGGCCATGTACTTCAGATCATTAGAATCAGCATGCCCAAATGGCAACATGGGGTTCAGAATCTGGCGGATTAGCCGACCAGAATCAGCATTGGAGATCAAATATCCAGTGTAAAAGATAGTCCGCTTGATGCGAAGCCTGCCGTAAGGCGATTTGGCCCGGTTGAGCGACGGATTGCGGATAGTAAGGTTATGAGAGTTGATCATCCGCTGCACTTCGGCAGTCTCCATTACAGGGGCAAGGTACATTGATCCTTCGGCGACCTGAATGACTTCAGAGCCGATGGGCCTTCTTCCACTATTTGGTGCCTGGAACCTGCGGTTTAGTTGCTCGAAATAATCCCGGAAAGCTTTCACACTAGCAGAACATCAGAAGTGTGTCATAAGAAAGGTATTAGCGAACACGCACTGCTTCACGCGATCTTCATAAACGCGAATCTCTTCGGCCTGATCGTAAGTGAGAACAAGGTCTTCCAAGAAAGTTTGCTTGAACTCCATAGTAGTGGAGAATCGCTGGCTCCTCGGGCCAACTTCAGGCTTGAGACAGATGAGATCAAATTCCAGCTTCTTACTGTCCACCATACGCCGGACAAGATCGGAGAAATTACTCTCGCCGCGGCCTGTCAGAAGCACCGTGAGCGCGTCTTTTTGCTCCATACTCAGCTTGACCAATTGGACCTGTAACAGGTCAGTTCTCTGCCAGCCTCGCCAATCACAATCACTTATGCCGCACAATCTGTTCGTTCCACCATCCCTCCCAAGCTCGTGGCTCTTCCTTATCGATACCGTCGCCGGTCGCGGCCAGCAAGTTCGGATCGTGCCACCAGCCTCCATTCGCGAAGCTCTCGTAGGCCTGCAGAAACCCGATGGTCGGGCCGTTCCATAGCTGTGGGTTTGGAAGAGGACTCAAGAACACTAGACGGCGTTAATTTGACGCTGTCGTTCGCCGGCACCACGGATTATTCTTACAGGTATTATCAAAGTCGTAGACGTGAATCGATCGGATATGGGATACCGCTGATTCGGGAGAGGAACGCCGTTAGCACAGTAATGGATTTTCCGTAGAGCTAGCTTACCTGGCAGCTCTCTGTTCGCTATGGACCATCGCCTTAAACTTGTGATGGTTCGCGCCGGAGCGCCGTGAGCCTGGACACGCATGGCGGCGGCTGCGTTTTCAGTGACTACAGCCTTCGCAGATCTCATTGTTCATCAATCATAGCAATCAGCAGTATATCGTTAGTGCATGTCTCTACATAGAAGTAGGACTTTTCTTTGGCTACAGCTTGCGACTTGGTGAGTTTGCGGAGATTTCGCCAATGTATGCGGCCGCGAGAGTTGTGATACGGTGGACGCCAACACCCAGTTTCCCTCCGGCCGAATGGCACGGGATTGTTACACTAACCACACGGCTGGCCACAGTACTCGGATAGAGAACCAGCAGATTAAAGCTACTGAAATGGTATGAAGTTAGAAATAAGATAACTATCATCTCATTTGATTAATGCACATATAGCAGTTTTACCTATATACATCAAGCTTGCGTTTCTCAATCCTAAGGTTCAAGTCCATGGCAAAATCTAGACACTGCTGAAGTTACACAATAGTACACCCGTGGCGATAAAATACTCCGTGGCATTTGGTAATCCGCACTGAATACCTGTTTTGCCACACGGGCACTACCGTCTCCCCTACTCAGTCTGCCGACAGAAACCACTACATTCTGGCGGTGAAGCCCACAGTAAAGGCGGTAACGACAGGAATGACGTCCCAGGCGGTCAGCGATACGCCGCAATGCGACTGCTTCAACTTATCGCTCCATGACACCCATCAACCCGTCCTCAAGCTTCCAACAAGCGGTCGGGTGTCGATCTCATGTCCGATGATGTCGACCTGCAACAGGAAATCCTCCAGCGGACTCTGCAAGAGGTAGCGCACGACGAAGGCGAGCACGACGCTAACCCGTGCGTGATCTGTCTCGAACCCATCTCCGAAGCCGCCATCGCGGTGCCATGTCGCCATGCGAACTTTGACTTTCTGTGCTTGGTGAGCTGGCTGGAACAGCGTCGCAATTGTCCGCTATGTATGTATACCCACTGATCTTTCCCAGAAGCATTCTGACTCGATACAGGCAAGAGTGAGATCACATCCGTCAAGTACAACCTCGACAACACCAACGGACCCAAGATCTACCAACTCCCAGCAAGCACAAGCGCCACCACAACCACCTCACACCTACCAAATCCCTCACACCATCGTCCACCCCGCCGACCCCGTCGTCCGCGCAGCCCCCGTCCCCAACAACAACAATCGTCCACCGACCCCCTCCGCCGCCGACAACACATCTACCGCCACCAACTCTACTCCCTCCGCGTCGGCTCCAACCGTCTCTCCCAATACCGCGAACTAGCCCCCGAGCGCTTCAACCGCGAAGAAGACCTCGTCTCGCGAGCCCGAAAATGGATTCGCCGGGAACTGCAAGTCTTCGAGTTCCTCAACCCAGAGCCAGAGGACCAACGACAAGGCGGGGGAGGGGTTGCGCGCCCCGGTCAGCAGAGACTCGAAAACCGGTGCGGCAATAACGCAGAGTTTCTGCTCGAGTATATCATTGCTATCCTACGGACCGTGGATATCAAGGGTAGTGCGGGGCAGGCAGAGGAACTGTTACGGGATTTTCTGGGTAGGGATAATGCCCGATTGTTTTTGCATGAGTTGCAGGCTTGGTTGAGGAGTCCGTATGTTTCTCTTGAGGATTGGGATCGGAATGTTCAGTATGAGGATACCGTGGGTGGTGGTGCTGGTAGTGGTAATGCTCGTCCTTCGGACTCGCGGAGGGAGAGGGAGGAGAGTAGGACTGCTACGCCGGTGTATCGGGGTGATAGGGGGCCGAGGTTCCCTGGTTCTTCTGGACGGGTGAATAAGCCATCGTATTCTCGGAGAGGGGGGAGGGCGTCTCGGGATGCTGTGGCTCAGGCGAGACGGGTGCAGTATGCTCGAGATCGGTATGTTCCTGATTGAGCTGCAAAGCTCGGGGTATTTGTGTTGTGCATTATAATAGACATATAGACTTCTCAAGTTGATGTATAGTTCAACTGACATGGTATCTCAACAAGAATTATATACTTATGCTATAGTCATTGCTCATATCACGTCCCAGGCATACAGACACCACAGGGACAACATTGGGTATCCTCCCCACTGTATTCTATCAATCTCATCCCCTCCATCTATACTCATCTACCACCTATTTACCTCCTCCCAAACCGCCCCCCGTACCTCCCCTTACTCCCTCTATTCCGCAACTTCAGAGACCGATAATTAGCATGCGCCGCCGGATTAACCTTCCTAGAACGCGGCTGAGTCTGAGTCTTCTCCTTCGTCTTCTTCTTCTCCTTCTCATTATCCACTTCCTGATCTTTCGCCCGCCCCTGCGGTCTATCCGCCTCAATAGCCTCCTTCATTCTCTCCGAGAAGCTCTTACTTCTAGCCGGAGGCTTAGATAATGTCTCTTCATCTTCATCAAAGTCATAGTCGGGATCTAAGTCCGGTTCGGACCCAGACATTGAGTGAAGTGAATTGAGTTCCTCTTCGTCGTCTATATTGTCCGCTTCAGTTCCGGGGATATTGAGGTGTTGTGTTTCGGGGACTATATCCGCACCCGCCTCCTGGGTATCTTCCTCATCGTCCGAAGCGGGTAGTTGGGGTTCTGCTTTCGGTTTCGCGGTAACGGGCTTCATGCGCACTTTGCGGGTAGTTCGTTTCTGGCCATTCTTTTTGAATGGGCGGGATACTTCGGTGGATGGGTATTGTTGTTGGGTTTGACTATCTGCGACATCCCCTCCTGCTTGTTGCTGTTGCTGTTGCAGTTGTTCGGCCTCGATTTCATGAAGTATGTCCATGTCATTCTGCATTTGCTCTTCTTCCATGTCGCGGAGGCCTTGGACGAGAGCTGAGAGGCCCTTTCCGACGAATTGGGGTCTCTTGCGTACTGCTATGGGGCTTAGGCCGCCGTCGTCTCCGGGGTGGGTGTTGAGGTTGTAGCGGGTTGCTGGTGCGCGGCGGAGGAATGATGGGGTTTCTTCGGCGTTGGAACCAGGTTGCGGTTCTGTTTGTTTCGATGTTGTATTGTCGGTTCGAATGTACGCTGGGTACCGGGGGCCTTGGTTTTCGTTTTCCATCATCGCGTAGCGCCATGTCGTGGGGGTTGCGAAGAGGGTGGAAAGCATCCATTTCTTGCCTGATGATGCAGGGGTGCGTGCGCCTCTCGGACTGTCGTCGTCTTCTTCTTCATGTTCGTCTTCTTCGCCTTCTTCGGCGATCGTGTCAAGCTGTTTCTTTCGTCGTGAGGGGGTCTGGACTGCGTTGTCGCGGAGACTGGCGATGCGTGTTGCGGAGGGAGTGGCGGTGCTGCCGCCGGATTCGGAAAGGAGGTCGAAGAGGCCTAGGGCCTTGCCGTCGCGTTGTGGGGTCGGGCCGATGGCGGTCTTTAAGGGGGATTGATGAGTGCTTGGGCTGAAGAGGCGACGGAGGACAGAAGGGGAGTCGTAGGGATCGACTTCGGAGGGGTGGGAGGTTGCGACAGGGCGGGATTTGGAGGGTGTTTCGAATGCTGCCGCGGCGCCTTTGGAGGCTTTTCGGGGGGTTGATGTGGTGAGGGATGTTGAGGGGCCGTTTGGGGAGGTGTGTTTGCGTTTCTTGGGCCGTTCTTCTAGTTGGACGGGGTTTTTGTCGGTGGATGAGGATGTCTCGAGGGCTTTTAGGCGGGAGTATTCTTTGTATTTTGCAGCTGAATTGAGGGTTAATTGTGAGTTAGATGATAGATGAGAAGAGCTGAGGAGGAAGTATTGTTCCTACCGATTTCAGGGACCTTCTTGATATCGCTTCGTTCGGCCTTTCTCCCTCCATTGGCGTCGGCAAAAGCCCGCTCCCATTCTTTCAGTTCGGCGCGTAGATTGGCGGATTGGGTTGCCATCTCCGGAGCCATGACGGTCGCCATTATTGCATGTTGGTGGCGATAGAAGATGTATTTTGGGTATCGGTAAGAATAGACTGTTGATAAGTAGAAATGCAGTCTGCAGAGGTGGTTCAAGGGAGTGAGAGCCGTGCGTCAGGAGTAACTGTAGTAGTAATGGCTAATTGCAGCCCCGGCGGTTGGACCGTCGCGTGCGCGAAATCAATTAACGCGGGTAGCACCCGCGTGGAGTGACGTAGCGTGTCTGTCCAATCGGTGTCCTTGACGGCGATAGAGTAGCAGTCACTAATCATTTGCCGTCGTCTGCATATAGTCGAGAGCTTGAGCAGTCTGTAATTTCCAGTTCTATAGTCGGGTGAATATGAATTCGATTTCTGCTGTATTAACCGCTGTGACACTTGAGACAAGAGTCAATCTCCATTATCACATCTAATGTAGTACGAAGGGTACATATAGTAGTTCTGGGAAAGTAAGAATCCATTGATCATCGCTCATTAATCTATTAGTGGTAATAGGGCCTAGTGTGGATATATATATATCTCGCTATACTACTAGGTAATATATAGTCTCACCAACTCGTCAATCCCCGAGCTCTATCAAATCCTCCGCGCAACTGCGTCTCAGGATGTACTACCTTTCCCTCTAAAAGGGTGTACTTGATGAGTCCTTCGCAATGTTCGGGCCTGATTCTGGCCAGCCAGATCATCTGCTGCTCCTCCTTCCGATAGATCAGAACGTTGGCAGAAAATTTGTGACCACCCACGTGGGAAACGAAGAAAATTCCCACACCACCGGGACGCTCGTCGTTTGCATCACGGTAGAGCCCCAGAGGCCGTAAGTGGCGTTCCAATTCTTTCTTGATTAACGGAGCAGTAATTCCGCAGCGAGCATCGCGTCGTTTATGGGAGCAGAGCAACACCACGTAGTCGTATTGGCATGGCCGGGGGTTTAGTTTGGACCCTGGATTAGCGGGGATGACGCCATTTTGGGATAATGGTGCGTCCATAAAACGAGAGATCACTTCATTGACGTCGCTTTGTTTGACGGCATCAATAAAAGTGAACGATGGTAAGAGCAGAATGGTGGTTCCTTGGTTTGTCTCATCGTCGGTATCTGGGGGTGTCAGATTTGAAGCGGAGATCATGAAGCGCTAGTTGCGATTAGTAGGGGGCTTTCGAAGGAGGTTATGGGGGTGGGCCTACACCATGTTTAGATAAATGCGAGGACTCGTCAAAGGCTTGCATTAAAGAACCCTTCTCGTTTTCGACCTTCTCGGTCCAGTCCGATTTCCCCGTTGCGACTAGGACATGGGTGTGAAATTCCTTGATATGACCATATAGCGGTTTGGTGGTTTCAACCTTCACTTTGGAGGGAAACTGCACGGTGCAGTCGGCGCAATCCCTCTTACAGTCCGGGCCATCTTCTGTCGGATCGACGGTCGGGAAAATGTAGCTGTCGTTGCGGACAAGGCCGCCGCGCGAGAGTAGTGATCGGAACATGGTGTTTGTCTCGCTAAACACAGCGTGTGTATTGCATGTAATACGATAATACGATCGCAAGACCAGAGATCAAAAGAAAGATAGTTCAAGAGTCAAAAATGATACGCAAAACATCAAACTCGTCTGCTTTAATCCTTATATCATTCTACGGCCGTAAGATTCGGAGATGCCTTTGGGGCGAATATCCCGAGGCCCTATCCCCGACCGGAGGAGATGGACATACGAGCATGAAGTGCCTGCCAGGCATCCTAATTCTTATGCATAGTCAGGACTAGTTACGGAGTCATGGCGTCTGCTGCCTCCGTCCGTTCCCTCCGTTGGCAATCGGTAGTTAAATACCTCCGTAGTGAAGGGTAAATCTCCAATGAGAGGAGAAAGATTGTCAAAGACGGAAATCCTTCAGCCCACTTTCAGGGACCCTTTTTGCCGTGCGTTTCACAAAGTTAGTAGTAGTGATGGCTGTGAGTAGATGGAACCATTACACGAAGCACATGGCTGATCTCCCTTGCTGTCATCTTCAACAATTCCTTCTGCCTATTATATTGCCAAGACCTTAACACCTCTCTCAACTACCTCGTTCTATTCTGGAATTTCATTTCTGGAATTTCAACTAAATATATATCAATAAACCGGTGGTGGATATCACTCTCATGGGTAGTTCTGACTCTCCGACATGGGGTCTTTCCCCATCAAGCCTTGTTAAGCTTATAGAAAGTTTAAGAATAACAGTATTAAGAAGAAAAGTGCTCCGGAACCCTTGGAACCCCTACCACTAGGCTGAGACAGGCAAGAAGCCAGAGACCCTCTCATAGTTACTTACTACGTTAGTTAGTTAGTACCAGATACTAGTTACTTCTTAGTTAATCTGGCTGCTGTCGTGACCCGGATGACTAACGCGATGGAGTCCAACGAGGCGCAGTGACTGGTTGATTCGAACCAGTCTGAGTTTGAGGGTTTGTCTGACTGTCTTACCTCGGTCAGGGGGGTGGGAGAAGGAAGAAGAGAGTTTTTTTTTTTTTTCTTCTCATCTTCTTCCCGTCCGATAAATCCCCGCTTAGGGAGTGGCTGCAACCTCAGCAGTCATAATCCATCAGAATTCCCACGATTTCCTGACGACACAACAAGACCATTGGATAAGGTTAAGAGATAGCAAACAGGGGATTTGATCTCTGCCTAAATCTCCCTGAACCAATACACGGCACATTCGGAGATCGTTGACATTTCAGGGAAGGATTGAAACCTGGCCGGGAGAAGCTGCCCGTTTTGGGGAAAAGGGCCGGTGGGCCAAACACGTAAGCCCAGCGACTCGCTTCTCTTATCTGAACTGCCGCGGCCGACCGACCGACCGACCGACCGAGTGAGAGTCCAGACAGTAAGTGAGCGACCAACTGCCACTTGAGTGTGTGTGTGCGTGAGAGAGAGAGAGCGAGAGAGAGAGAAAGAGAGAGAGCTTGGTTGTGTTTGTCCGTCCGAGGACACACAAGACTCTACTTGCCCCCGAAGACAAAAAGAACAAGCAATATACAACGACTCTCAACGGAAGAGGGGCCAACCACTTAACTCTTTCTTCGCAAGTCACTCCCTTCCCCAGCAGTTGTCTCCGATGAGAAAAAGAAAAAGTATCCATTCCGTTCATAATGGCCGACTTTCATCAGCAGCCTTTGAAGGCCGCCGCTGCTGCTGCTGCTGCTCCTTCCGACCATGAACCCCCGCCCGAGCAACGGGTGAGGAAACGTCGCAGACGCACCATGGCATGTATGCAGTGTCGCAGCAGGAAACTACGCTGCGACCGTGAGTATCCTGTATGCAGTCGTTGTCAAAAGAGCAAGACGCCGAATAAATGCACTTATGAGGACGGCTTCCTTTGGCAGCAACCCAATACAGTTGCCTCGCCCGTTTTCTCCGAGCGAGGTCCCACAACCACGGTGCAAATGCCCCCAGCTGATCGGGCGACTGCCCACCCTACCCCGGACTCGGGGATAAGCAGTCTCCCATCTCGGTCTCATCCCTCGCATCCCGTTGAGGAAAAACGTGATAAATTTCTGGAAACCGTCTTGGGTGCCCCCAAGGCCGCCGTCAATCAGGAGCCATATGTCAACACCGACCTCCTCCAGCGACCCCGTCACCCTCCCGAATCCCATCATCATCATCATTCCACCTCCCACCCCTACCCAGACGATAACGATGACACTCCTGCATCGCCGTCGCAGCAATTGGATGTCTCCCCTCGGATTATGATGCGAGGACGAGAGACAAAGACCCGTTTCAATGGGTCGGGCATTTTTGCCAACCTTATCGCGCAGGTAAACCTTCCCTTGCTTCCTCGTCTTTCCCCCAGCTTGGTATCTATTAGGGGCCCAGTCATGATTTCGTTTTTGGCCGCATGTTTACACGTTTATGTAGTTTCCTGACCTTAGGGCCTTTGCGGAGGAGATCCGTCAAGCCAGCCCGCATCTGTCAGCGTTACGGCCTGACCTAATGAGAGTCAGGAAAGGCGTGTGGAAGAGAAAGCCTCTGAACGAGCCATTCCCCATGCCCACAACAAGTTCCTTGATCACAATGATCCCGTCACGTGCAGTGGTGGACGAGCTTATCTCCTTGTACTGCACCTACATCGAATCCACCCATCGAATCTTTCACATCCCATCATTCCTCAAGCAACTGGAAGCGTTTTGGCCGCAGCGAGATCAGCCGGATATGGTCTCGCCGATTTTTGTGGTGCAGCTTCTCCTAGTGCTTTCGTGTGCATGGAATCTCGCCGATTTCCAGACCCTGCAAATGAAGAATGACGGCCATCTGCAATGTTATACGGCCGTCGAGTGGGTCATGCATGCCGAGAAGTGGATAGAGAACGCGCATATCAAGCGCCCGGACCTGACCAGTCTCCGCCTGAATACATTGCTGATCATCGCCCTCAATATCCATGGCATGAAACGCAGCCAAGCTTGGCTTGCGACGGGAACGCTAGTCAAGCAAGCCATGATGGCCGGTTATCACCGAGATCCGACTCGATATAGCCGGATCTCCGTCTTCAACATGGAAATGCGTCGAAGAATATGGACGACGATTGTGGAACTCGATCTACAGGTATCCCTTGAACGAGGCATGCCGCCGTCGGTGCAGGAAGCCGATTATGACACGGCTCCAGCACTCAACATCAATGACGACGAGATCCACGAGGACAGCACCGAGCTTCCGGTGGCAAAGCCGTTGGGTGTAATGACTGACTGCTCGTTCCAAGCGGTCCTCGTACAATCTCTTTCGCTGCGCCTCAAGGCCTGCGCGTTAATGCATTCCCCACATATTAGTTGCCGATACGAAGATATCCTACACTATGACTTCGAGTTGAACCGACACCTTTCTAAGATCCCTACCTGGCCGACATCAGACGTGGACGACTTCCAAACTGCGCACCGCGGAATCCTTATCCGAGCAATGCTGGAAAACAAAATCGGACATTCCCTTTTATCGATACACACGCCTTTCGCCATTGAAGCGCCCAAGGACTCCCTCTTTACACCCTCCGCCCGGGCTCGTTTAGAAGTGGCGTCGATGATCCTGTCCACACAACGGCGCTTACGCGAAACCTCGCAACAGCTATCCCTCTGTAACATGGGCGACTGGACCATGCAGGCGTACTGCACTATATGCGAGCTCCTACATCAAGGGCAAATGACCAACGGTAAGCCTAGTCATCCTTATGCCATTGGACTATAAGCTGATCCAAACCAGGCACTTCCACCTTTTTGACCCGAACCCTTCCTGGACTACCCGAATCTCTCATATCCCTGGTGGAGGTGGTTCTTACGTGTCTCGAATCCCGGCTTCTTCTTGTGGTCAAGGGTGCCAAGGAATATTTCTTCATGTCCACGATTGTCGCATTGGTTAAAGTAGGTCTCTGGCCGAGTCAAGCGCAAATTTACAAGCAGGAGGTTGTGGAGAGAGTTATTCTCTTTGCGCAAACCCTGTTTACACGACACGCCAATTGCGCCCATCTAGGCGAATGGGGAATGGGCAACTTCAAGACCAACCAAGTGAGTGTTTCTGTCTACTTTATATTCCAACCTGTACTAATCTAGTTGTGATAGGTTCCCAGCTTAAGTGCAACCCCTGGGTTGGCACCCCCGTTTGTTCCCGACGTGAGCATGGCGCACGCGCCGAACTTTGGCATGATGGTAAGTCTGTTTCTTATATGTATATATGTCACTGGAGCAACGATCTAATAAGACACAGCAGCCACCGGGAGGAGATTTAGATCCATTTCTCGACGCCTTCGACTGGGGCGACTTAACCGGCTTCACGTTGCAGCAATGATGTAAAAATGCCTCTATATAATCATGACGACTGTATGTAACTGTACCAACATCTCTGTGTACACTCAATCCCTGGAATACTGTAACATGTATTATCATTCTGTATGAACACAACATTTTCTTTATCCCCGGATACGATCGTGATCCCCAACCGATCGTCTATTACCATGACGCCACAACACAACAACCGAACAACGATCAGAAACAAACAGGATGGCGATCATTGGATACATATACTTTGTAATTATCGATGTCAATAATAAGTCATTGCACACAAAGGCAGAACCGTCATTTGTCTCCGCGGCAGGGAAAGTGGGCCGAGGGATCGACAGCCCGACCGCGATGCAGATCGGATGATATCAGAAGTGGTAAGGATTTTGCCATTGCTGGTCCACAAAATGAGGTTCCTGGAGGACAACTTGATTGAGAAGTGAGTAAACAATTGACTGCACAGACAGACGTAGTACTTCAGAATTGGGATGAGAGAGTTTGGTCACATGCTCTAAGCTAAACTGTAGTCTAGTACTGCAGACCTACTTGATCGTATTGGTCGCTACCATGATGAGGAGCCTAACGAGTCAATTGGTCAATAGATTACTGACACTATCCCCAAAGAAATAAAAAAAACAAAGCAGAGATGTAAGGAGCGCGAAAATAGTTACCACCGCGGAATTGACTTCAGGCAGTGCTGCGATCCGACCATCAAACCCCGGTTGGCGATGAACTCTCCCATACCCGAAACCACGAACATGAACATTCAATTACCTTACAAATAAACACAGGGCTGAAGATGATCTTCAGGAGATTCTGCCCTTCTATTTCTGTTCGAGTGTTCTGCTTCCAAACAGTGGTTCTTTTGCGGCTTTGCATCGCTTTCCTCCCCAAGTTGTTCTACCGAGCAAGAGGCTGAGCGTGGGGGCTAATTGCTTAGCATGATCAACGAACACCAAGGTACTTATCGCACTAGCTTCACGACTAACATAGACTCATTCCCCTTACTGTGAACTAAGGTGGTTTGTTTCATGTCCTGCCTCGTTTCTTATCTACGGATGAACGGCCGTCGCTGTCACATGGGTGGGCAGAAAACCTCTGTAGATATACCCCACTGTGTATCTATCGCAAATGCAGGCTGACAGCGCCAGATGCAGCGGGTTTTTCAACGCCTCTCTTGCGGGGCCAATTCTCGAAGGTTTCAAGTGGAATTATGCAGCTTTGATGCGTTGTGGGGGACATTGACACCTGCCTGGACTGATATAATGACAGAAGCTGTCACTTTGCCAGACAATGACTTCAGGCCGGATGACTGTAACATGCAACGCAACAATACAATCATCCCGCTCCGAGTAGATCCACACCGAATTGATCCAAGTAAGAACCAAAATTTATGAGCAGAAGCAGAATTTTCTAGCGTCATGCACTCGGAATTTAATACGAGATGGAGAGAAAGACTGTGTTTTAGGCAGGCATATTACCTTAGCGGCTGCGATATCCCCCGTTCGATCTATACGGTATTGACGGTATGAAGACCGTCTCAATGCAGGGTCGTGAGCAGCTATGGGTGATCCGGATCTGCAGGGTTCTGACCAAACCGGACTGCTGATTGGCTAGAGGATAGACATCGGGCGGGTACGGGTAATACAGCCGGTGAGAGCGGTAACGGTATTCCGTGTAAAAGCTTGACTGTGGCCTATTCTTGGAACGATTGCCGTCATGGAGACAATCTAGATTTCTCGCCAACTTGGTCGCTGGTGACGTGCTTCGTGGTTATCCCCTCTTCTGCTATCCTATCTACTACTGCTAATAATCTCGCTTTATTAAATAGGAATTCTCACCATGATGGTCGTTCATTTTCAATCAGATTTCAGGCAGTTAATCTCACTCCCACAGCCTCGTGGGCCAAATCTTAGCGGCCTTTCTGTGCGTCTGCGCTGTCATACAGCTAAGCCTTGTTGGCCCCGTTAGTCCCTTGACTAGCTTCAACTTCCGGTCTCTCTCACTGCCAATCATGCTGCCCACGGCACGCTGCCTGGTCTAGCTCTGCGTCCCTATCTGCCTTGTCCTGAATTCCAACACCCTCATCCTTAATGGGGCCGGATCGCTCCGGCCCCATTCCCCTGGATCCTTGTCATTGATATATCCCGATGAGATCCCCTCTGCTGGACGCTGACCCATCATTTCAGTCATTCATGTCAGTTCTGCTATACTACTAGTACTACTCTTTTTCTGTGACTTTTTGAGGACTATTCTCCTCGCGCCACTCCTTTTTGCAGAAAATTTGTTCCACAGCATCATGAAGAGCATCACAATGCTGCCATCTGTGATTTCCGTCTTATTTTTCCTGCTCTATGCAGTGAATGCTGTTCCGCTGGCGCCCCGGGCGAGCGCGCTCGCCGGGATCGACACCAAGTCATTCTCTAAGACCAAAGATTATCCTCTTCCCAACCTGGGCAACATCGTCGCCCATGACCCTAATGTCGTTCAACATGACGGCTACTTCTATTTGTACAAAGGTGGTGTGCACATCCCGATTCACAGAGCCCGCTCCCTCAGTGGGCCTTGGGAACAGGTCGGCACTGTCCTGGACGAGTCCAGCGTGATCCAGAAGCAAAACCGCTCTCGTCCTTGGGCCCCCACGACCATTCAGCACGACAACCGTTTCTACTGCTTCTACGCGATCAGCGAGAACGGCAGTCGCGACAGCGCCATTGGAGTCGCCTCTTCGGATACTCCCGCCGGTGGAAACTGGACGGACCATGGCGCTGTTGTCAATACCGGCAAGGGAGACCTGTCGGACATCTATCCCTACTCGGTCTCCAATGCGATTGACGGCGCTTTTATCACCGATCAGGAGACCGGACAGTCTCACCTACTTTACGGGAGCTATTGGCATGGCATCTTCTCGGTGCCATTGGCAGATGATCTCCTTTCCGTCAAAACCCCGAAGACCCCGAACGCTACCAACCTGGCCTACATCCCGGACGTTAAGTCGAAGCCTATCGAGGGCTCTTTCATGACTTATAAGGAGCCTTACTACTATCTGTGGTTCAGCCACGGCAAGTGCTGTCACTTTGATATTCACGATTTTCCGCCCATGGGAGACGAGTATGTGCACACAGTCTTCTATGGAGAAATTGTAGCTAACAATCACAACAGGTACAGCATCCGGGTCGGCAGATCTAAGAGTGCGACAGGACCTTTCGTGGACAAGGATGGCCATGATACCCTTAAGGGAGGCGGTACCATCGTCTACGGATCCAACCATGGACTAGTCTATGCCCCTGGCGGTGTGGGCGTGTTGATCAACAACGGCAGCGACGCGGATGTCTTGTATTACCATTATCGTACGTTTACAGTCTAAAATGGTTGGGAAATTAGCTAACAGATCTTGCAGTCAACACTACATCTGGTTTCGCACAGGATGTGAGTCTAACCCTAACCTTTCCACTGACAACGATACTAACGCAATACAGGACGCTCACTTGGGATGGAACTATCTGCACTATGTAAATGGATGGCCAGTGGCTGTCGAAGGGTATGTTAATGCCAACAGCAAATAACGCTCAGGCACTAAAGGTGGAAAATCAGTAAATCTAGCATAAACGCTACATCAACCGAAAGCAGTGGTCGGGCTATACAACCGAACCACTCGCTCAATTCACTAGCGCTTCTGTGTATGTGCTGTCTAATCTTGATACTGCTCCCTACCCACTATACTGGCAACAAGCTCATTGTTCTATTCGTTGCACTAGTCATTGGTGCATTCCTTTGGCTCTACAGTTGAATCTACGCCTCTTTTAGCGTTCATCGATGCCCGCCAAGTCGTCTCGCACTGCCTGTTCCTGGCCAAAATGGGGCCAAATCTCAGGGTCCGATCCTGCAGGAACCAACATGGGGCCAACGCATTGCTCGATTGGTATATCTGAAACCAACATGTTGGTTCGAATGCCTCTATGGAGCAACTAACTGCACAGACACGATCCATCCATGCCACAAACATCCAGCAGGATCATGGGTCCCATCCACCATCCACATTGAGGGCCGTGCCCGTTGTATACGACGAGGCATCACTGAGCAAGAACAACACAGAATGAGCAACCTCATCAGGCGTCCCCACTCGCGGCATCACCGTCGGCGTGGGAGTGAACCCTCCCTGGATGGCCGTGGCCCTATCCAACAACGGTGTCTGAATCGACCCACTACACAACCACCGTCAGCGCCACCACCAACAAGCCCCCAAACCAGGGAAGCAAAGAAGCGAAATGAAGTAATAAGAAAAGGGAGCTACACTCACGGCGCAACACAATTAACCCTAATATCCGGCCCCACCTCCTTAGCCACACTCCTGGTCAACCCAACAACCCCATGCTTAGTGGCCGAATACGCAGCATGCAACGCAAAGCCCCTCAGACCCTGAATACTCGCCGCATTAACAATACTCCCCGTCTTACTCGTCCCCTGAATCGATCTTATCTGGGCCCGCATGCAATACATCACCCCGGATAGATTCACCCTCAACAACATATCCCACTCCGCATCATCCTGCTCCAACAACGAGCCCGTCCCATGCTTACTCCCAATCATGCCCGCCATATTTGCTGCGCCATCGAGCCGACCGAAATGGCGGACCGTAGCATCAATCCACTCTTCCACGGATGAGCGGGATCCAACATCAACGACTCGGGTGAGAACGTTCTCGTCGGTGGCGTTGGGGAGCTGGGCCCGTGCGTTCTGCAGCGCGGAGTCGGATATATCTGCTAGGGAGAGACGAGCTCCTTGGGCGTGAAGTTGGCGTGCCACGGCCAGGCCGATGCCTGCGACGCCGGTAATGGTGTAGACTTTGTCTTTGAATGATGATGACGATAACGACATGATGCTTTTATGATTCGTTGATATGTTTTTATGATTGTTGATATTATGCTTTGTTTTCCAAGTGTGTATTGATTAAGTTCGATTTGATTTTTCCAGAGTTATGTGATGGTTGGTATACTTTTGAAGCTACCCCGCATCGGCATCCGCGGAGAAGAAGAAGAAGAAGAGGGTGCGTTTATATACCCGTTTCGGAGTGACAGACTCGGGGATACTCCGACCGGGGCATAATCATGAACACATGATACTAGATCTAGAATTAGAAGCTACGGTTACATGGATAGATCAATGGCAGATAACAATTGTGGATCAAATCAGCGTGCCAAATCGGCTAAATGGGTAAATGCGATCACGGAGGCTACTACTACTACTACTACTACTACTACCTAAAAAGCAAAATCCTTCGACATGGGTAAAGCAGCAGCTGATTCTATAAGAATCATAACAAGTACTGTGATAATATAGTAGTGCTATTATTAGTAGTTACCGAGTGAGTCAATATACATTACAATATCCACAAACACAAAATACTCCTTCTTAGGATTGGTACAATAACAATTGGTAAATCTATAGAGATGTGGTGCAATATCTAACCAAATACTACGAATATGAAGTCGAGTTCAACCACGGATCATTCAGTAACTCCCTCGCCGTCTTCCTCCTCTCAGGCTCCCATTGCAACATTGATCGGATGAACTGGAGGAACAGTTCCTGGTTCTTTCCGCTAAGATTCTCTTCGATCTCCTCGAGTGAGGTTGTCGGGACGGTGACTCCGCCCGCGCCTAGCCATTTGCCTATGGATTATTAGCTCATTCCCTCGAATAGTGAATTTTCAATCATACCAAAAAGAGGAAGAAGATAGGGGCCCCAGGGGGGAGAGGTATAAGAGAGAACTCACCATCATCCATAAACACATTCCGAGTCTCCCGATTTCGCTCGATAAACGACGACAACGGTGGCAGACCAAGAAACCCCACCATCTCAGCAACATGGTGCGATGGCGAGTAATTCCCGTCTTCGTCGAGAGTATTGAACAGATGCTTGTCTTCGAATAGATCCCATATCTACGGAAATAAACGTGTCAAAACTTGCTGTAGATAGATGTTAGTAGGGGATATGCTTACCATGACGCCGAGATTCCATATATCAACACTAAACCCCCACTCCATATCGAAGAGTACCTCGGGTGCCTTGTAGATGTTTGGTTGGATGATTCCCCAATGAGATGATCCGATCCTCGCTTGGCCGAGATCGCAGAGTACGGGCTGGCCCCAGAGCATGTCTTTGGGTAGGCGTAGCTTTCGAGATGTGTAGATTGAACGGGTGTTGTCTATGGTTTTCTTGGGGGCTGGGGTTTGTTGTTCGGATGTTTCGAAGGATGTTAGGATTGAGGGATCGTCTATGCTGAGCATGATGTTCGAGGGTTTGATATCTGTATTGATTTGTGTTATTGTTGATGATTTGATCAGTTAGTTGGCAATAGGGAATTGTACCGGTATGGATAATGTTCGCTTCAGTGTGAAGGAAGTCAAGTGCTTGGAGGATACATTTCAGGGTTTCTTTGAGTAGACACTCGCTTAGTCTTCGGGAGCTGGAAAGCATTCTTAGATCATGTAGAGACATGTGCATTGGTGGGTGCACTAAACATGGATATGTGCCGTCTGGAGTTGTGATGTCGAAGGTATCATGCAAGCCACGGATATAGGAACCTCCTATATGGGAAGAGTTTATCTTGCTCAAGTGGCTGTATATTCTCAGTTCTCCTGATGATGTTTTCGATGAATCATTCTTGGTTAGTATCTTGACAGCCACGTATCTCTGTTCACTGTACAGAGATAGGTCAGTACTAGAGATCATTGTGTAGACCAGATGGGCGCACCTCTTTTCATGGCATAGCCATACAGTGGAGTAAGAGCCATAACCAAGCTTTCCTACTACTCTGTATCTCGAATTTAGAAGTTCACCAATGTGTACAGGACAAAATTGGTCTGGTTTGTAGAATGGAAGCTTCTCTTCTTCAAGGTCTTTGGGCTTAGTAGCAAATGCTTGAGGGCGTATTGCACGCTTGCAATTGAAGACAGTTGCTCGTGATGAGATGAGCTTGTTATACTTGATGAGTGATAGACCACTCCTGATTGTTGAAAAGTACTTTTGTGTCATTGTAAGAATCAAAGAGAGTACGACGTCGTTGTCAAACGCAAGCCTGCCGGAGTGCGGCTTTAATGAGAGATGCGCCACGTGCGGGAGGTGGAATGCAATGCAAGGCGGAGGATAATCCCTCCTTGCTTCGAGCAATGCACTCTAAAGGCTCACTCACTCCACGCTCTCTTGCATGAGGAATGTGAGATTGTGCTATGGAAGATGTTAGTTGGATGCTTTGATATCTGCAATGTGGACTACTCGTTTCGCACCTATATTGGGCTGCGAAAGCGGTATCCTTGTGCTAGTGTCTATTTAGGGCACATGTTCATCACTTTCTCCCTTGGCTAGTTAACATCACGGACAAACCCTCTCCTCTTCATCTATCAGTGGACCTGTTCATCCATACAATAACGCTCTTATAATCACGGACTCTGTCCCATAAATTTAATGGTATATAATATATTATACAGAGAATTACATATGTACTTGATTTTCTAGGACGGTCCATGGCCTTCCATTTCCGTTTTATTGCTCACCCTTCGCCGCTTTTTGCTCACTGAGTAGATTTGAGCACACTCTGAGCATGCCCTGAGCAGCCTGAGGGTCGCCTTCGTTTATTGGAGTCATGTACTACCGGAATAACGAGATTCGCTTGCAAGGAGATACGGTGATCTGGGATCTTCGCGTGCGCATGATTGCTATTGACCTAGAGGATCCCGCTTGTGGTAGCGGTGGGTGCGCCTTGGGGGCTTACATTGCTTTATCGCATGGTCAGCAGCACAGAAACCACAGATTCAACATCGACCAGGGATCGGAAATTAGGAGGGATAGTCATATTATCGTTAAGATGTTCTTGGATGAAGAAAGAAGCTTGGTTTCATCGATCAAACTTGGATAATACAACCCTTGCTTAAAAAGGTAGAGCATAATGGTCGAATGGACAGAAATGGAGGGTCCGGCTTTGGAAATCACCTCTTCCACGGACCAAGTACATCTCCACCTTAGTATCTTCCGGTCATCTGTTGACAACCCGGATTCTTTGGCATGGATTTCGACCATCGCCTGGACCATTTCACAGTGACCTTTGGGTAAGGAAGATGATGCCATTCATCCTGCTGCTTGAGTTCTAAGGGATGGAAGAATAGAGCCTGGACATATGAAAAGAGCAGCTACATCTAGTACCTATAGATAACAAAGAGATACATTTGTCAGGACTGGCAGCAATAAAACGCTTACCATTCCTTTAATCCGATGGGTCCGGTACATGTCCAATGTTTGTGGTTCAACTTGTTATTCTCAACCTCATCCACAATGGCTACCGCCATATCTTCGTTGTAGATTCCGTTGTCAATTCCATACTCAGCAGAGCCCATGGTATCATCCACGTGTACCTCATACTTTCCAGTTCTGATTCCTATTCGAGCAAGTAAATGAGCATTGCAAAGAGCACAAACAATTGAATGTGAGAGATTACCTTTATCACGCAGCTGCCAAGGAGGGGATAGAAAGCTCCAACTCGTCTCTCGTACACCTTCCCACATGGTGAGCGCCGCACGAGAGCATAGGATAAGCCCGAGCGCACTCGAGTCTGTAAGAGTCTTCCTGGAAAACTGCAAGAACAAGCTAGCAAAGGGTCTAAATAGCCAAGAGAACCCTATCGAGCATTTGTAAACACTTGTCCACAGGGGAGGGAATGAACACAATATCCTGTTACTCACAGCCGGGATTCTCGCGATTTCCCCTCGCCCATTTGAACGTACGGATGAATGTAGCGAATCCTCGCTGTCCATGGTCATACATGCGCGTAGACATATAGTCCAGATGAACATCAGGCCATGCATACCTATGAAGGGTTAGTACAATCTCCAGGCAAGATAGTATTAGTGTTCATTGTTTTGAACTCACCAGTGCTTGAATGCAAAGCTTTCATCATCACACAGTTGGATACCATTCTTGTAATAAAGTGACCCAGCGCCACCTATATTGATTATTAGAGTCGAAGCAGTTTATAAAGTATGGAATAAGAGAATCACACCAATGATAACAAGAGGACCGCGGTAATCCGATCTAAGGATGGCCATCTTGATATTACCATGACCTTCCACGCCCACCTCGTACACGGCCTTCAGGTCAGTCAAGGGAGGAGCGAATGCAGAGACAACTGCATCAAAGTTACCGTCAGACAAAATCTTGCTCAAGCCTTTGATGTCGCTGAAGTTGCATGGAATTCCACCATAGTCTCCAGGCTTCTGCCATGTCTTAGGTGGCGAACGGGAAATTCCAACCACGCTGTGGCCTCTGGATAACAGTTCATCCACAACGCAAGCTCCACATTGCCCTTTGGGACCCAGGACTGCGACTCTGAGTCTTTTCGACATGACAGTGAGTAGTGTCGTTTCTACTGTGAGTATGCTATAGCTGTGACACCAAGTGATTGTGGGGTGAATAATGATATGGAGATTGATGAAAGAACATCGAGCTCTGATATGATTTAGGTATCTCTCATTTATTGACTTCCTTCGCCGGAAGCCGTAAGTGCTGTGGTGGCACCCGGACCCCCTGAAAACCACCACCTCCGTCGGCCAGCCATGCTCCCCACTTCCCCACCAGAATATCCCCTCGGAACCCCCGCTGGCATCCGAGATCGACGGTGATGGCGTAGGTCTGCTGGGGCATATGTATTCTCTTCAACAATCTATTAAGGACCATGTGAGCATCTACAGATTTACTATTTTCTTCCACTGTCCACCACAACCCCTCATTTCATTCTTTAACTTACCCTCACTAAATATTCACCCTTTCAGCTACATTATGGCTGCAACCCAATCCCATACCGACTTCCTGGCATCATGTCAAGCTATTAGGGAAAAGGCTAAGAACTATGTTCAGTTCCGTCCTGCCCTATCCCCGGAAGACCCCAAGGCGCGCTTCCCCGGGTTTCAACAGGGGCTTACTACTTTCAAGGCTGGACATCAGGTGGAAAAAGACGCGAAACCCCTGCCGGTTGACATCCTCATGCATGAAAGCATGTATATAGTCCTTTCCGACGGTACCAAACTGTATTACGATATCTTCTTCCCAGCTGGCTACGAAAATCTCGAGGTCGTTGACACGAACAAGAAGATTCCCGCATTAGTTGCCTGGAGTCCTTATGGCAAGCAAAAGGGTGGAACGCTACTGGATGATTTCCCGTTCCGTGCTGGTGTACCTAAACATTGGCTATCTGGCCTACAGAAATGGGAAGGACCGGATCCTGGATTCTGGTGTGCGGAAGGATATGCCGTTGTAAATGTCGATACACGTGGAGCTTACACTTCTGAGGGTGATCTCGAGATAATGGGCCACCAGGAAGCTCAAGACGGAGCGGAGTTGATATCCTGGTTATCTGGACAACCATGGTGCAATGGCAAGGTCGGGCTTACTGGCAATAGTTGGTTGGCGATATCGCAGTGGAAGATCGGAAGTTTGCGGCCTAAAGGCTTGGAAGCGCTCGCACCATGGGAGGGAATACATGACCATTATCGCGACAACATCTGCCAAGGTGGAATTCCTTTTGATGGCTTCCATAATTCAGTTGCTGGTAACAATTACCTCGTGAAACAATTCCATGTGGAAACAATGCTGACATCTAGAAAGATACCCTCGCTAGCTATGGCAAGCTGGAAGACCTACCTGGGGTTCTGGTCAAGAATCCCCTTTACAATGACTACTGGGAAGATAAAAGAGCCAAATGCGAGCAAATCAACGTTCCCACATACGTGGTTGGCTCATGGACGAATCCAGTCCACACATCGGGAACCATGAGAGCTTATCGATGCATCCCTGAATCTGTTCCCAAATGGCTTCGAGTTCACAACTCGCAGGAATGGCCAGACTATTACGCCGATTCCAGCTGTCGTGACCTAAAGAGATTCTTTGATTGCTTTCTGAAGGGAGAGGTGGAAAATGGCTGGCTTGACACACCTAAAATACGACTCAGCGTTTTGAACTTCGGATTAGATGGTTTGGACGATACTCTGAATCGGGCAGAGACTGCTTGGCCATTGGCTCGGACCAGGTACCAGAAACTTTACCTGACACCTGATGGACAAATGAGCCCATCATCTTCTGGTCGGTCGGGCCAGGTTACATATGACTCCAAGGATGGAAAGGCCATATTTCGGTATCGCATCCCCCATGATATGGAGACAACAGGATATTTCATTGTCCGCCTTGCAGTATCTTGCCCATCCAGCGATGATATGGACTTGTTTGCTCAGGTGTGCTGTCTTCGTGGGCGCTCCGAATATAAGCAGGGTACTCTCACTATCAAACCTGACAATCTGATAGTGATCAAACTGTTAAAGCTCCTCCATGACTGGCAGGTCGGCCTCCAGGGAGTGGGTATGTTATTCCACTGGGGCCCTGCCGGTCAACTCCGGATCAGTCATGCCCACCAGCTCAGTGACTATGCTACCCCCTTTGAGCCTCTTTATTCTCATACCAAACGCATACCATTGACTAAGGGGGAGGTTCGAGTTGTTGAGATCCCGCTCCGGCCCTACGGAATGTATTGGAGGGTACGTAGCACACTACATTTGAGTCGAATCTTGACATCCCGCGAATATATCACTAACTACATTTCAGAAAGATGATATCATGGAACTTACTATTGCAGGTAATCCGGTGCTACCATTCCCAATTCCTGGGGTCAAGCCGTTGCAGGCGACCAATGCGGGAAATCACATCATTCACTGTCTCGATAGAGATGATAGTTCTTGCCTTGTTGTACCATGTGTTTAGGATCATAACCAAGTTTACTGAAGTGACATGCAGTACTTCATAATCGAAGATCTTTCAAATGTTTCGTTGCTTGACCCCGTAATGCGAGGATTTCATGAGTCAGATTGAGGGCGCCGGCTGAGTAATGTTATATATACATAACTACTTAATAGTGCCGCCAGTGTGGACAAGAACTCCTACCACCCTTTTTCATCTTCTTCCATTATCCTCCCGTGTCCAGTCTGCCATAGGATATTCTTTATTATGGGCGCTCCTATACTCATCTAATAGCAACATGTTTCGTATGGGCGCTCCTATACTCATCTAGTAGCAACATGTTTTGTTGAGTTTTCCAAGCTCCGCTTCAGCAGAATCCGCCCGCTGATATTCCATCCCAATTTCCCCCACAACAATCTTACATCTGGACAGCCCCTTCATAAAGCTCTTCATTTGATTCAGGTTATGTATATTTAGTCTTGTTGATTTGGCTCCAACACACTTGGCATCCGTGGAGTGGCAACCCGAGGCGGAAATATGCGGCGGGGTACCGACGGGGCCGACGCAACCGACGTGGAACTACGCGCCCCTCTTTACCTTCGTAAAATGACAGGTTATGCATTTGTCTCCATTAGAGGCCGAATATCTCGACCAATCCCACGATGGGTGGTTAGATGTCGTATTGTATTGTTTCCCTGCATAGGGCAACTGACAAAAAAACCCCTTCTGATTCGGCCCCCGGAATCAATACTAATAAGAGAAGCATATTTTTCGCGATGTTGATGTTCTCTCCATCCAACAACCGTTTCAATTAACTGCAATGTACGGCGAAATGATAGGGCAGGCAATCTTATCACCATCACGGGGTGCTCCTGATGTGGGATTTGAAAAAATTGCCGCTGGTCTAGCTCTGCTCATATTGGCGATACTCACTGCTAAGCTTGCGCTTCGGACATACCGTTTATACATACATCCTCTGAAATCTTTCAAGGGACTTCCAGAGGCATATGTGTCGAACAACTGGTTATACCAAACTATAAAAAATGGGACCGCAGAGCAAACATTTGAGGCTCTCCATGAGAAGTACAGTATGTATTCAATTGGATACTTCCCGTGCACGGAAGGACTTGATTTTACCGAAATGCTAACCCTTGAACCATATTATAGACACAAAGGCTCTTCGAATTGGACCTAATGAGCTTCACATCACCGACATTGAATTGTACAAAGTGATATATAACCAGTCGAAGCCATTTCTCAAGCACGCTCCATTTTATAACGGTTTCAACACTCCCCACACTGTTTTTGCTGAGCTTGAACCTCGTCTACACAAAGAACGCCGCCGCATGCTGAATCCTTTGTTCTCCAAAGTTGGCGTTTACAAGCTAGAACCTCTTATCTGTGAGAAGATCTATCGGCTGTCAGCCAAAATTAATCGGCTTTGTGCGACCAAGGAAATCGACGTTTACAACGCGTTTCGGTCAGTATCTTGTACTCAGCGCTATTTAAAGATACTCCTCTAACCAATCATGGCAGGCTTCTGACCACAGATATTATTACCGAGTTCGCCTTCGCAAAATCAGCCAATCTCATCGAGGAGAGGCATGATGAACTGGATTCTTGGTTCCTTGACGCTTTTGATGTCGGCTCCCAGAGTGTCGTGGATACACAGTATAGTTCGGTGCTCCGACAAATTGTGAAAATCCTACCAGGCGCTGTAGTAAAACTTCTAAATCCCAAACTTCGCTCCATTTTGGACCTCCAGGAGGTATAGTTATTGGGACTCCAGTATGTGCCAATCACGAATTCTAACAACTTGACTTAAGTTCGCGGCAAGCTGCATGAGACACTGGCAAAGATCGTCCGAGGGCTCTTCTTACCCTGTTATCTTTGATAGCCTAAGGTCAATTTCGGATGACGCGAAGGTTTTTGAAGCAATGGATATTCTTATCGCCGGTGCTGACACCACTGCTTCCACCCTTACAACTGGGCTTTTTCACATCCTTTCCAATGAAGAAATCAAAAGCCGTCTTGTGCAGGCCATCGATGAGGCCATGCCAGAACCCGGATCTCTAATCTCACTTCAAGCGTTGGAAAAAGTGGAATACTTGGTATGTCATTTTACAGACAAGGAACCTTGGTATAAATCCTACTGACATTTCCTAAGACAGCATGTGTGAAAGAGTCGTTGAGGGTCGGCATGGCTGTTCCAGGTCGCCTACCTCGTGTCGTTCCCACCGGGGACCCATTCATTGTTGAGGGCAAAGTTGTGCCTCCAGGCGTAAGTTACAAGGACCGATGAACATATGTTTGCCAAGTTATCAATATAAAGCTAACAAGAAGTTCCCTACGAATTATAGACAATTGTTGGAATATCAACATACACCATGCACACTTCTGTGAAAGCGTGGGGACCCAATGCCCGTGAGTTCGACCCGGACCGTTGGATCGGGCCCGAATCCAAGGGCTTAGAACAGTGGCTGTGCACATTTTCAAAAGGTGCAAGAATGTGTCTGGGACAGAAGTAAGTCTGGGGGTACCTCAATAAATGTTGTATAACTATACTTCGTTTCACATTCACTCACAACTTCGGTATCGCAGTGTCGCACCCGCTGAGATCACTCTCGCATATGCCCACATCTTCCGCAACTTCGAACTTAGTCTCCCCGAAGGACATGTACACCCGCGTGCCCTTGACCGCTTCACCTTGGCGTACCAGCAGCCTGGGTTACCTGTTGTGTTCAGGCCTCGTCGGTAAAAGTCACTGGGCATGAGTGACCAAGGAGGCCTATATTCCAGCTTACTGTTCAGGGTAAGGCGATCAAACCCGTGAAGCTTGAAAAAGATAACTACTTTATCGGGAAGCCTTTTTGTTGCTGTTTGCGGAACGAGATCGCAAGTCTATCTCTTTTAGTATGTAAACTAATCGAGTTTCACATGAGCAGTACGCTGATATTCCGGGTACGTGTAGTAATCAGACATCGAGTACTTCTTGAACAGTATTGATACTACACTCAAGTGTTTCTTTCTATACCTCTCTCGTCTGTAATCCAATTCTTATACGACCGATTCCTGTTGGCTTGTGTTGCGATTTTATGTTGCTAAATAGACATGCACATCAAAGAGTGTGCTGCCAGCAAGTGATTTCATCTTCACCAAGTAGGCTCAGGTGTCACGACATTGGAATTCCTGGAAGTTTTCGGGTTGACAGTTCGACTTACATGTGTATGTAAACAGAAATTGTGTCTCGTGCTCCACCTTCGATTCTAAACTCTAAATCAGCGCCAACCTTCTGACCGGCTCGGTATTTAGTAAAACACTTGTAAGATCCCCACTGCGCCACAATGTGGGGCTAGTCGACTACTCCGTATATTCATATAGGTCAGACTAACGAACGATATAAAGATAAATTTCGCTTCGCTATATGCTTGTTGGAAGGTATAAATATGGCTATAGAGAATTCGGGACGTACTGATAGCTTTTACAGCAGTAGATGCGATAAATGAGCAGAGTTAGTGTCATTTAAGCTGGAGCTTGTGTTCATGAAACCGGTAAGAGAAGAGCGGAGTGGGGCGGTGGGTCAATAATCATCATGTGATCTTACACTTCCACAGTCTCCGCATGTTGGCTAGTCGAGGTGTTTCTCAACTTGTGCCGGACTTCATGGACACTGTCCTGCTCCTTCGACTCCTTGAAAATGGCAGACTTGCCCCAACAGTCTTTGACATGCTATCAAAATGATCCCCCATGTTTCTATTCACCCTCAAGCCTCAATGAAGTTTCCTTACCGCCGAGAAGGTACAATTGCAGTGTCTGCTCCGCGTCCTTCCGACGCCGTGAGCACTTTGAGCGTCATCTACAAAGCCATTCCAAGAGCAAGAACTTCAAATGTGACACTTGCGACAAACGATTTACGAGGAGGTAGACTCCCCGCACATCTCGACGTATGCAGGTGGACTTATCATTGTTTTCAGAGATACATTGCAACGCCATTCAGCAATCCATGGACAGGTCCCAGCGAAAGTCCGAAAGCCGTCGACAAGGGCACCTCTTGCATGTCTGAATTGCGTCAAATCAAAACAGCGATGTTCTGGATCCCAACCATGTGATCGCTGCAACCATAGAAATTGGCCTTGCCAGTTTCCTGGGGGTTCCACTACCTTTCCGGAGACAATCGAACAAACGATGATGAATTCAAATAATCAAATGAATTCACTAAATCATGGTTATAAGCCATCCCTTGCATCTGCTATCTCCCCTATGAGTACAAGTTACTCGGATCCCAGAAGTTTAGGCAGTGTGTCTCTTCTGGAAGGGCCATGTGCGGAGCCTGCTGTCTCAAACCAGCCCGAGCGAACAATACAAGACGACGATACTGCTTCTTTATTTGAATCATTTCTGCTTTGGCCTCTGGATGATACAATCGACCATAACACCATGCCAGGGGATAGCACTCGTCCCCTGATGATACCTAGACCTCCAGGAATAATAGCACAACCGCCGTCCATCTCACATGGAGGTCGAACAGGGGTGATAAATGCCTCTCAAGTGGTTTCAGGTCATCATACCGAGGATACTGGGCCTCGCTCCAGTGACCAGTCGGACGTATACGTGCAAGGAATAGACCTCACAGAGGAAGACCGCGACATTTTGATATCTGAGGATTACGCACACGTCCCTAGACCTTCGAATGAAACATATGAAAGAATGCGTGCTCTATATGCCGAAGTGCGCCAATATTCGGCTGAAGCTCCTCTGTCAAGTCTCCCCTCGTTGGACATTCTTCATGTATTCATACAGCTTTACTCCGAACATTTTCATCCGAGCTTCCCTATTCTCCACCAAGCCACTTTCGAAGCTCGAAGTTCGTCATGGTTGCTTTACCTGGTCATGGCCGCTCTGGGTAGTCAGTACTCGAAACTTTCGACCCGGGCAAAAATAGCATCCGATTTAGTCAAAATTATTCATGTGTCCTTACTCCAAAAAGTATGTGCTCAACGTATCTCTATTACGGTCCTGTCAGGTTTTCTAAACAGCCGTAGCTATACTGCATGCCGGCAATGCAAAATGACCTTGAGCTCGCTCAGACAACCCTTCTCTTCCACTTCACTCTCCTTTTCGGCGGAACACGGGAAGGCATGATGCATTTGCAATATCAACGGAATGTGCTGGTTACGATGTGTCGTCCTCTTCTTGTTCCCGGCATCCTTTTCGCAAAGAGCTGGGTGTTATCTAATGCTAGCGTATCAGGCGAAGATTGGAGTCAATGGATTATAAAAGAGTCTTGGAAGAGGCTTGTTTACTTTACCTGGTGTAAGTGGAGAAATAGTACCCTATTTCTTATATGTCTTGCAGCTTGTAGTTGACTCGAAATTTGACAGTGATGGAATGCTTTCAATTGATATTGTTAGATCTTCCAGTCATTATATCGATTAGTGACCTTCATATAAGTATGCCATGTGATGATGACCTATGGCGGTGTGAGAGTTTTGAGAGGTGGAAGCAGGTCAGAGCCCTGCGAAGTGGTAGGTCATTTCCATCCGACCGGGTCGAGAGAATTCCTGCAGCTGAATTGATTGGAAAAGATCCCCAGGAATGTCCCAGTGTCCTCTCCATGCTCAAGATGGACATCATGGACTATGCGCACATCAACCGCTTGAGCGACTTGGCGCTCTGGATATCAGCAGTTTCGGTGTACGTTATCGACAGGCAAGCTTCTCAGCAGCAACCATTACAAATATTATTCAGCACACACAACATACCAAATCTCCGGAATTTGCATTCTACAGAAGTAGTCCGCGCTGCTGGGCCCGAAGAGGATACCATCGACGTCATTTTAGGTCGTTTCCAACAAGCCGTTAGCGAACGCCGTCATGACTCTCCTATTTGTCTCAACATCGCAAAAATATCTCTTATCATGAGGCTGCTTCGCTTCATGAAATACCGCCCGCTGTATCTCTCTTCGGGGTGGATGGCTCGAAACGAGGAGGTTCGTGCGGCCAGGCAATATATCGCCGAGCTAATACACGCAAAACCTAAAGAAGCCCGTCAGGGCCTTTTACATGCCGCCCATCTGTTTCGCATAATTCGCTCTCAGCGTCAATTTGACCCCTTCGACTCCTTTATACTACTTATGGCTTCTCTATACATCTGGAATTATGATCTACATGCGGTCTCTCATACTCCTCTGAATGAAGGCAGAGAGGAAATCCTCCGAATCGACCAAACTTTGGATGCAAATTTACAGGAAAAATGGATTGTGGGCACACTTGGAAAGCGTACACAGCTTCATATCAGTGGAATTGGGGTCCTCAATGGCCAGAATAGCATGTCTCGCATCTTCAAAGAAGCAGTGAGAATTTTAGACCACGACAAAGCTTGGTCTCGCCAGGCTAATGCTATCAAACGGTCATTGCAGCAAATACTAAGAGGAGGTGCACCGTCATTTACCGATGAGGAATCTGCGACGAATGAAAATGCTACTTGACGCTGGGATTTGAGACAAAGGCTAACGAATGGGCTTGCTGGCAAGCCATTCCTACTTAGGAGTATGCCATCTCGAGGAAAATCTTCAAAGTGATCAGTACCATGTCAGCCAGAATAATTGTCATGGCCAGTCATAGTCCACTTCCTAGTTACTCTGCTGTCAGTGAATCCATAATCGCACTAGTGGCTGTCGCGTGCTTCAAAGCTATATAAGGCTTGGGTTATTATAACTCGCAATGCCACATTTACTCCTTGGCTTCCGGACTCAAGGTCTCAACTCGCAAACAGCTTCGCTGTCAGTTCCACTCAATTGGAACAAGACATACCGTAACCGGTAAGCGAAGCACATTGAAGCCAGGTGCACAGTCTGGACGCCTTGATCAATAATAATTTCACTGACCACGAAACTATTCATGCTACTGCTTCCAAACAGCTACCCAGGTATTAGACTAGTCTTCTCACGTCAATATCAATGAAACCTGATTTCTGCAACATAGTCCACTACTTCATGGAAGTTCTGCTTACTGAATCCCGCATTATACATGTCCTAACCGCCAAGGTGTTAAGATTATCACCCGACTATCCGAAACAGTCTCAAAGGAAGATAACACATTAGATCTATCAAGCTAACCGGTGAAGTCCCTACATATAAACGGTGCAGTCAATTAGTAACATACGGTTGAGTAAACTTGAAAATATGCACTAGTTAACTTAGTTATCCCAGAACTAACTAACATTATCCTAACTTAGTAATTCTTTACTCAGCTAAGCCTTGATATATTAAGTTGTTATATTTGGATTGTCATTGTATTCCGGACTGCACAGCTGGTTTTAGATGACTGTATCCCTTCAAACGTTACCGATTACTCTCTCCCCCGAGAAGCCGACGGGGCCGACGGGGCCGATTGGGTTCTCCACAAGGTTTACACACGGCTGCAGATCACTTCTCTAATCACACTCCGGCATTTAGTTCAGTGTTTCATATAATAATAATTAAATACAACGTCTACATTAATTTTGAAGTATTTCTATATAATTTAATATATTCAGACTAAGCTCAATATTTGATATATTCATAATAATAAAACTTTCAAATTAAAATATCTAAGTTTCTTAAGAGTCAATAGGCGCTCCGATCTTTTTAGAGGAGTTATCAGACGTGAAAAGCGACTAAGGCAATCATAAAAGTCCTCACGTATACCTCACCTTGCGCTCGCCTATCATTCAGTCGTGCCTCACCATAACTCTAGAAGGCATGGGTGTTCTGGGGCCGTGGGAACACGACAGATACTTGGAAGTCTAGATCTCCTCAACATCTCGCAGTGTCAACGATGATAAGGAAAGGATTCTGTACCAGCTTTATTTTGTTGAGAGTCCTGACGGAGTTACATCGACGGGGGATTGGTGTATCTTTACGCATTGTAAGTACTTCCGTCGACCATAGGCTGTGATGGCCCAATGAGTACTAAACGGAATAGTCTCTATTTCCTGCACCACCTTCAGGAACACCTCCCCAGCATCTCACCTTGTTCAGAAGTGATATGTACCCCGGTGGTATTGTGCCAGCTGGTCGAAACGCCAACGACGCCTGGGAATGGAGTATCGATATCCTAAGAGAACATGCTAGAGATGCTATGAGGCGGGAAGGACTTGTGCCCGTCTGATATTTGATGCACTGAGAATTGTGACTATAGTCTGATGGTGCTCTTCAGTATCACAGTAGGTATTAGGCCGTCCTCACCCGTATTCTAACTACTGGGTTCAGCCAGTTTACCCACATTTAATATGATTAAGGAGCAAATATGAAATTGTAATGTATTTATGTCCCCTCCGAATTAACAGATAAAAATAAGGGAGTTGAGCTGTACCTTCTCAGTAAAACCATGCCTGAAGATAACCTTCCACAAATGTAACTACCGTAAGGTAAAAGCCAGCTTTGATGTTAAATCTAAACACACGTCCCCCAGACGCGCAGTCACTGAGATCCAAGAGAGATACGCTCCGTATCATACCTGCCACCCATACCCCAATACCAAAAGTCCAGTAGAATAAGGAGAGTCTGCTCATGAAAACAGCCTCCACAAAGAACGTGATAGTAACAACAGCTGCAAGGGCAAGAAACACCCGGACACGCTGTCCCAGGAACACCGCAAGCGACTGGACTCCGCATTTCACATCATCGACCATATCTTGTACAGCGTAGGCAGTATCGAGGAAGATAATCCAGCAGACAGTTGCGCCGAACAGAGCCAGAACTGATCCGTTGAATTCGATATCTCCTCTCACAGTAACATACCCCGGCATCACACCACTGGCAACAGAGAGGCCCACCACAAGCTGAGGGAAGGGCATGATACGCTTCATAAAGGGATAGACCAAGCTCAGTAGCCACGCCGGTGTAGTGCACAGAGTTGCTTGTGGTCCTAATGTATACCACGTGGTCCCTAGGGTGAGAAGTATCCAGCAAAGGAAAACGAAAGTAGCTTCTTTGACAGAGATGAGCCCAGACGGTAGTGGTCTGCTTTTGCATCGCTCGACTTGTCTATCATATTCGACATCACAGATATCGCTGCTCAAGTCTTTTAGTAGCTCCTTGTATAGCACAAATTGAAGGGGGATCTGCTCACTTCCAAGTACAAAACGCGGTATGAGAGACCGTCGCACTTGCCCAGATGCCGAACAAAACCAAGGCAAATGACCATACATCGGTCCTATCTGACTTCGCACCAATACTGGCTCCCCACACAGCTGGGAAGACAGACAGCCAGGCTTCGTGTGTGTGGAGACGACCCATCTCCCAGATGGCGCGGATGCGCTTGCGTGTGTGGTCATCCAGCATATCGGTCTCTGGGATCAGCTTTCCTGCGACATCCATGATGGATCGTTCACGACGCCACGTATAGTGAGGAAATAGGATTAGTATGGTAAAAGGCACAGTTACCGTCTGAATTGGAATTGGTTCAGTATGACTTGTCATCATCATCATCTGTTAGCGAGTAATATATGTAGTAGGGGACGATGTAGGGTATCTTTTTTGCCCGAGTAGATACTCCGGTAGATCATCCATGCCCTGCTCTGTCATGCTTATGCCTGCATCTAGATCACTTTACGTATATCACTAAACCTTGACAGGCTAGCAAGACTAAGCTCAGCGCTTAAAGCGCTGCAGATCCGATGGACCCGTAAGGCATGTCAGATAGTAGTGTGGGTATGAAGTGAAGTGATGTATTGCTTTTTCCTATCTGTGCAAATACGATCGTGTTTCTTTCACACTGATTTGGAATCTTAGGAAAAAGAAATTATTTTCCCTCCCCTCCATCGTGATCCTACCCAAGTGATTATTCCTGTCAGCGTATTTGGCGAGACTTCGCATGATAGCCAGGACATGCTCACCCAACGAGCCCCCATCTAGAAAAGATCGCCCCCATCGCAAACTTGACGTTGAGAGAATACCCCAACTTCCCCTCACGCCGCATGCAGCTTATCCTGCGAGATACTTGGCACTGATAACTGGCGACTACAACTTATTGGTTCACCTCTACAGTAGGTACTCCACCCCTGCACTGCTGATGAAGTGGGGATAACCTACAAGCCAGATTGGCGCGAAGTTGCTAATCCATGATGGTGATCCTCTTAAATCATACTATATAGCAGAGATGTCATGGTTGACACCAGCTGGACCAGTAGCCAGCCCCAGGCAATATAGAAGCAGAAAGTCTCACGATGACGAGCAATCGATCGCCTTACCACCCGCAACATAGAACTCCACGCGAGAGGCATCACTCCCCCTGGCAGAAAGATCCGCCTTGCATGAATCGACAACACCACTATCATCCCAACTGAAACTCACGACACCACCACCCCGTAATCTCAATCCATCAGCACTCCCACCTCCCCACGCAGCCGGAATAGCCGGCCCAAGCAGCACAGCCTGCGTCTTACCGGCATGAGCATCCGCATTGGAACGGTCCAAATCCCTAATAAGCATCTGAACCATCGCTCCCACAAGCCCGAAGTTAGCATCAATCTGAAACGGCGGTGATCCGGAGTACATGTCGAATCCGTTTTCGGCAAAATTATCTTGAATTGCGAGCGACAACTCCGAGTATGCTTCGTCTGTGACGTTAAGGAGCGCCCAGCACGCACTACGCCATACCTTGGCCCAGCCGGTGTTGGAGTCTTCCACCCCGGTGCCGCGGGAGTAGAGGGTGGTTTCGACGGCGTCGGTAATCGTTTTGTTAGATCCGTGCACGGAGGAGATGATGTAGCCTGGGTACCAGCCGTAGAGGTTGGAGAGGTGGCGGTGAGTGTCGTTTTTGACGTCAATGTCGAGCTTCCATTCCTGGATTTGGCCCCATGAGCCGATGTGGATGCCTGGGTCTAGGGTAGAGAATTTGGAGGTGATAGCGTTCTTGAAGGAGGTGTCAACGTCGCCAGAGGCAGTCCAGCCTTGCAGGACGTGGTCGAATACTTCCCAGATTAGTTGTTGGTAGTGGGTGCAGCCGAAGGTCTGGGACGTTAGTTGTGTTGCAGGTAATTGAGTTTTTGATCACTTACTGTAGGCCCATGCTCGGGCGAGTTGCAGGGGTTTACGACTAGGGTGCCATCCTTGAAGTACTCATCTTTTACAAGTTGAGAGAGCCAGAACTTCGCTGCTCCTTTGAGAATGGGATAGCCTTTTTCGCGATACCAGGTACCGTCCTGGGAATAATCGAAGTGGTCCCATACGTGATGTGACATCCATGCATTAGTGGCAGGGTAGTCAGCCCACTGTGCGACATCTTTCATGCTGGATTGGTCAGTGTTGCGACTTTCATGCCGTTAATGAGCTGCTGATGTACTCACGCTGTATGTCCAAATGTGTTCATCTCATCATGCGTCACCCAACCTTCCGAGGTGCCATACAACAATTCTGCTGTCTCTGCGCCTCGAGGCATCCAGGTCTCAGCCATGTATGTCCAGAGTGGCTCAGTCAGTTCTCCTAATCCTGTTTGCTCAACAGCCCAATGGTTCATCTGTAGGTTGATATTGGCATGGTAGTCCCCACTCCAGGCCGGAGAATAGGATTCTGTCCAGAGACCTTGCAAGTTAGGCGGCAGAGACCCTGGCCGCGAGCTTGATATGAAAAGGTACCGACCGTAGTCGAAGAGCAAATTCTCCACGTAGGGATCACCGGGCTGGCTGTAAGACGTCAGAAGCTCGGTAGTTGGACGGTCAGCTGAGCCATTGGGATCTGGGAGGGTTAGTGTAAACTCGTTGAAGATGCCCTGGTAATCTTTGACGTGAGATGATTTGAGTGCAGAGTAAGTCTTTCTGGCAGCATTGGTAGCAGCTTGAAGTACTTTCGTGTACGGGTTGTCCCCTTTGAACGAAAAGCTAGCTTCCGAATTCCCGTTGGAGGCATCGTAATTGGTGTCGGCAGCGAAAACAAGGAACACCTCTTTCTCTCCCTCTGGCACTTTAACAGTTGATGACGAGCAAAGATCAGATGTATTGTTTGACTCAGGAACGATAACAGTCACCCTGGCGTTGTAAATCATCCCGATAACGGGATAAGTCTGACCATATAGGCTGATGCTATTCCCATGGCAGCTGACATTCGGGGCAGGCGACGTGAGCTGATTGTCGAGGCCAAATGTAATACTAGGCAGTGACGAATTTGAGCTGAGTTTGTAAACGCAAACATTATCCGGATACGAGCAGAATGCTTCCCTAGTATCTGTCAGCAATTGAACCATGGAACCACCACTGAGGCTGCTTACCTCTCGATGTACGTCGCGCCGGTAGTGAAATGATCCGAGTAAACAGCCGAACTCAAGTCCAGTTTCCGACAATATCCATCAATATCACTCAGTTCGCCCAGGTCGATGGTCAAATTTGCCAACACCTGATACGAACCGTAGTACGGATACTCGCCCAGTAGCGCAGAGACATTGCCTGTCCCATTCTGGAATATCCATTCCCTAATACCAGGAAGTGCACCTGCCTTGGAAACGTTTGGATTTCCTCCGGAGTATGTCTATATCGCTCTCAGTAAATATTTAGCCTCGAAGGCTGTTGACGCGGGTAGTATACGCTCCACGCACCGGACTTTCAAAAGGTCCTCCGCGCCACAACGAGTCGACATTGAGATTAACAATCTCCTTGTCGTAGGAGCCAATAGGCATTGCTAATGATTGTTTCAGTATCCGACCATAAAAACCTTTCGAAGTCTCGTCCAAGTTTACCTCCCAACCGTCCATTTCCTAGCGGAAATGCAGTGCTTATGAAGCTACTGTAATTTCCCGGGGAATTAGACCATAACGAGTTGGCTGCCGCGAATGGCAAAACCAGTGCCCAAAGGGCCGCCGATGATCCAGAGATGGGCATTCTGCTTGAGCTGGATGCTTGGAGTCGAAGGCTGAAGTGCAGCGGAGAAGGGGAAAGGGGGTCATTTTATCGCCGTTGCGGGTTAACCCAGCGTATGATTGATGAGATGATCACACTGTCGAATGATGGGGAATGAGCAGAGTACAATTATACTAGCTGCAGCTACCTACATTAAACCCGAGGTATACTGTGCCTCTATTGGAGGGATTTCTCAGGAGAATAGGAACCGTCCGCAGTAGTCCCGTTAGCCTGCAGATCGGCGAAACCGGCTTCCGATAGAATTGCTTGCATTTCGCAGGACTGGACGATTGTTCTACGAGAGGATGATGCGGGGATTCGGTGGTATGATTGCGATTGATTGATTGATTTGAGGGAGGATCAAATAGAGGTAAGCTTGAAACGGAGACGGGGACCGTGTGACCCGGTGTATATAGCCTAAATATCACGTCTAAGCAATGAGCGCTATACTAGTGCCGAAATAGTCCGTGAATAAGAACCAAATCCTGAATGAGCATCATCTACAATTTGCTCTTCGCCGCCGCCTCGTTGGCCTTTTGCCACATCCGAATCCGGCGCTCATGCCCAGCATTGAACAAATCCAACCACTCCTGTTCAAAGGGGGGTAGGACACGCCCCGGCTCGCCTACCTTGGGATTGCCCGCCAATTCACGCAGGGTCTCAAAATATTCTCGGAAGTCCGGGTTGATGACGCTGAACCCAGGCCCATCGCCCTTCTTTGCAATCCGATCTTGTTCCCATTTCCGCTGCTCCTTCAAGGGTGGCAATTGGGCCTTGCCAGCCAGGACCCGCGCCGCAGCCACTGCCTGCCATTCAAAGATCTTGAAAGTCAATCCGGCGCCGACCTGGTTCGAAAATTAGCTTGAGCCGTTCGATACGGGAAAAGACGAGCATGAGTACATACCGCTCCCAAGAATGCCAGAGTTGGATCGTTCTGGTGGAAGATATGCAGATATAGATCCGGAATACGGTTGTTTCTGGTCGGGATTTCCGGCAGGTAGGGCAATGCCCAGGTGAAGCCTGTTCCGAAGATGATATAGTCCACATCCGAGACTGAGGTCCCATCTTCGAAGTACACCGTCCTCTGCCCGTTGTCACTGGAGACGCGCGAAATGGGTGGTTTGCGATTGATTGACGGGTGTCTAAACGCGTAATCCCCGAAATAAGGATTATACCGACCCCGGACCACAGCGTGGATGGGGGATTGCGCAGAGCCGATCAGGCTGACTGCTGTATCTGCCGCAGAAACCGAAGCTCCAACGGTGACGACTTTCTATACGTTGTTAATACCAATTGTAAAATTTGGTGATTGGATAGCAGCATACCTTTCCGCGATAGCGTTCGGGACCACGATACTGCTTCGTGTGCAACACGCTCTCTGGGTCTTTGTCGATCCATTCTTTCAGGCCGGGAATAGAGGGGACGTAAGGCACAGAAAAGTGCCCCGAGGCAACCACCAGTGCATCAAACGTCTCACTCCACCAGTAGTCATACCCACCCGGCTTGCCAGCCCGCCGCAAGACCAATTCCCATTGACCGGTCTTGGGGTTTTTGACCGCACGTTCCACGGTCGTGTTGTATTCTACAAGATCTTGATAACCATTGCGGTTCAGAAGATCCTCAACATACTGTCGAATCACGGTGTGGTGACGGAAAGGGGTGTCTGGCCCATGCACCGCGATTGACATCTCCGAGCGGATTGTCGGGATCGACTCTTGGGAATACTCCATGGTCGCAACATCCACATTGGTGTGCAAATTCGGGTAGATATGGGAGTCAGTAAAGCGATGCTGGGTCAATGCTGGTGTGAACGCAGGCAAATCGGACGGAATTGGGAGAGGAGCATCCGCGGTCCTTGTGGATAGCTTATCGACATCCAAAGGCACCTGTTTCTCGTCCCGCGAAACCCTAGTGTCGATTAATTATCGGTCGCGTAAACCAGCAAAGATTTGCTCCCAGGACCTCTGGTAGAAGCTGTATAGACATACCAGCACCCACCGGCTTTTTCCTGTCTCTCGAATACGCGCACCCGGTCAAATGCTTTCTCCTGCATCAGGGCGTCCACGGCAATGGCGCCCGCAGGCCCCGTGCCAATGACAGCCACGCTCTTGATTGGAGACATTTTGACGCAAGCTCTAACGCGTCGGTGGTATGCAAACCGATGTTCTATAGCTCTAGAAGCTGGTCACCCTGAGGGTTGGTGGTTGAGATTATCCTGGATTCCAAGGGATCAGTTTCTGAGTTGTTCTAGCCAGCTATCTTGATGCCAATCATAGCGCGGATGGCGTCACCGGAGCCCAGTAATACATCGATATGGGCGCGGGTGATCATCCAGCCCATTTCTATGCAGGAATATTGTACTCACAGAAGCTTCTGTCTCTAATCTATGTTTCTGTGGCTTATGTACGACGAGACCTAACCATTGCGGTTCCGAAGCACGGTTCACTTTGCGTTTATCTCATTTTTCTTCGTTCTCGACGCTGACTGGTCCATCTCAGCCTCCTGTCACGTGGCTGCTGTTAGTCAATTTTATAAGCACTCCCATTGGCCAATAGTTACACCAAACCGGTTCCTTTCCAAGCATCACAACCAATCAGCTTGTGGCATCGGTTGGAGTCTCTCAATATCCTACTGCAATTGTGATTGTATTCATTCAGTTCGGAAAGACTCCGAAACACTCTCAGTAGCGGGACTTGAGTCACAGCAACTTACCGTATCGGGCGATCGAAGTAGTATGAACGAATGCCCTCTCATTCTCCGCGTACTGGACTCTTGAACAGAGTGGGAAGGTAGTTATTGGGTGTACTCAAAAGGTCGCAGAAGACTGAACTGGTCGCCACAACCAATCACTATGAGGGTTAGCAGTCCTCCCTGATATAGTACAGCCTGCTATGTTTGTCCAGGGTCACGGAACCTGCTGATACAACCATTCAGATGCATGAAGGTCGGGGCTATTAACACATACATGGTAAAAGGCAAGCGATAGAACTAGCGAATATTGTGCAGCATGGCGACATTGGCGCATGAGAATCATTAAATTTGCAGTATTATCGATTGCGTGGATCTCATCTCGCCGAAGTTGAACAGTTGTATCCTGGTTGGTGTACGAATCATCGATTCTTTGACACTTGAAGCGTACTTCCCGAGGTCCAAACTTTTGGCCAAAGATTCGTCATCAACAGTCCAGTTTTCCCTGAACAACTCGACATCTTCAGGCATTCCTCAAGGGGATGACTTCTCCGCTGACAAAGCTCGACACTTCGGGCTAATATTATGCCATCGTAAGCCTACCCGTAGTCACAAGTAGAGTAACTAGCCCCGAAGATGATCAACCGCCCTTCACATCTGGGCACTGTTGCGCAGTGCTGCCTCTGATTAGCCCAAGAGTCTAATTAAGTTAGTTGTGCCCCGCACGTGAAGATGATCTTTCTTCAATGAACCTGAAACACCCGTGGGTTTTATGGTACTTTTCGGAGCCTAAAATTTGGGACATGGGCAATTTTCCACTCAACTTCGATGGATCTGACATCTGCTCATGTCCAGTAGAGTTGCATTGAGTGGGTCAGTGTATGTCCTTTTGCACTATATAGATTGATGAGGTGTAAGGTTTAACACGAGACTTCCAGAACTTAGCATATGTTGGTAGCCAATCAATACTGGGTCTTTGCTTCCGATGAAAGGAAGGCAGGCAACTGCACTCACGTCTGATGCCAAGTTAGACAATAAGTATCCACTAGACGTATGGCGCATGTCATGAGAACGGGAGAGTCGTAGACACTGATGAGTAGGCTGAGGAATGCCCATCAATTGAGAATCAACAGTCAATGTTTCCGTCCCTATTGTTAAAGAGTGCACATGCATGAATCACCCGGTTCGGCGATTGAGAACAAACACTATATTGTGTGGGTGTATAAAAAAACCGAAGTGATGTGTATGCATCATATTCAGACAGTCTCAGTGTATGGGATGTAAAACGCTCTTGGTCGAATCATAACAGCTATCGATTCTGCAATGGTCCAGGTCATAGTCGCCGCCGCAGATGGGATTTATCCCTCAGCATGGGTAACAAATAAATATAGCAGTCCAGATGCAAAATTTCGAGGAGCTATTCATTGATTGCAGCTTGTTTCCGAAGCATGACCGGTCAATGGGTGTTTCATGTTATCTATGAGCCTGTGAAGCCCCTGGATGCTTTCGAGCTTGATGATATGCTGTGCAAGCATGTCCCCATGGACCAAATATGTCCTTAGCAGTGGTTATCGTTGATTGTAGAAGTTACCTACATGGCAGTCTCTCTAGCTTCTGCCTCCTTCAGCATAATCTGACAATCCGTTAGCAAATATGACAAATCGATGCTTTCATGCCGGGCTTTGTGCTTTAGGCGGCAAATTGCAGTATTTATGCACGTCTTGACGAATTATCTGAAGAGTCAGTGCATATCAATGCTATCAAGTATAGCAGATTAGGGTCGCCTACCAAGGGTAGATCGGCTCGATTAATGACTTTGGTGCCTTAGGCATCAAGAGTGGGAGATAACTCCGCCGATCGACCCTGCGATTGCTCCACATTTGCCCGTCCCCAACATTGTTCTTCTTTTTGAGTCTCCGGGATAGGACTTCCAGAAGATTTGGAAACGGCTTTGTCCTTCAGGGCCGCGTACTCAATCCAGACGACGGATAAGCCATCTACCGTCCACCATGGGGGAGAATACCGTGCTGACTCCCCGCAACATTGAACCTTGAATCACCACAATTAATATAGCTGACGGACAACGGTCTGGCAGGCATTCCTCCTTAGGCTTTATTCTCTTACAACTGGTCGGGCTGTCTAGTCTGGGGCTCATGACTGGGCTTACTAGGTTTACGGGATTGCCTCAGTAATTGATCTTGTCCACACTACTCTTTGGCATCTGCAGCAAAGACTCTCGATACAAAGGCCAATGAACCGTCAACACTTCAAGGATAGGGTCAGGGCTGACGCAACTAACCAAAATGTACCCTCGAGCACTAATTAAGTGCCCTGGATGCTTGGAACGCTGATCAGGAACATGGTTGTGATTATTCGCTCCGATTGGCGGCTGTATTACCCATGGCTATTCCGAAGGACGAGTCCAGACCCATGGCTCTCCACGTTTGTGATTGCGCTTACATGGGCAGGGAAATTTACTTCCTCAAGACCCTGACTTCGTCAGTATACATCACACAGATAATGTTTCATGGGCTCATCTGGGGTAAATTGGCTGTCAACATCATACAGTGACTGGTGGTGCCATGACGGACGTGTCGAATAAGGCTGGGTCCGCTCCCTCCACTCTAACGGTTCGGCCTCATTTTTGGGAGCATCGATCAATTTCTGTCTTGGACTAAACCCCCGAGCCCGCCAGTGTTTCAAGGTCCCTACGGTTTTGAGTTAGGCATCTGACACAGCAACCGACTCCGAAGCCAAACTTGCTCATGAAGCGGATTGATGTTGGTCCTGTCCCGCAATAGTAAAATGCCGTTTGCATCATCTGAGAACGCGTGCTCAATCACATTGCAAAACCTGGTTCATCAATGATCTCATCCGAATAACCCTCACCGACGGCATGTTGAACCCCTATGCCTATCAGCATATCACCTCTTCGCGAGCGTCACCCACCGGCAGACATATAAAGGATCCTCGTGGTCCGCGTCCCCTACCGACCGTCTATCAGGCTTCATCGCTTCCTTTCCTTCAAACCTGACAGTAGTAGCTCTCAGGCTCTTCAATTCTTTCTTTCTTTCAACAACACTTAGGACAACAATTACTGCAATGAAATTCCAACACGTCGCACCGGTGTGCCTTGCGGGCTGTGCCCTGGCCTTGCCGACTCCGGTCGAGAAGAGACAGGATCTCTCCGACCTCATTCCGTTCCCTATCCCAAGCGGTCTAATTCCGACTGGCCTTTCCCTTCCGTCTGGCCTCTCCCTCCCATCCGGTCTCTCCCTCCCTTCAGGCCTCTCCCTCCCTTCAGGCCTCCCCAGCTTCTCTCTGCCTACGGATCTGTCCGACCTAGGCTTGAAGCGCCGGGACGTGCCTTTCTCTCTGCCCTCTGGTGCTGCACTCCCTACAGACTCCCAAGCACTGTCTCAGCTCCTGCCATCTGGTCTTCCCGACCTGTCCAGCCTCGGCATCACCCTTCCCACCGGGCTTCCATCCGAGAAGCGCCAATTCGGCGGCGGCGGCGGCGGCGGCGACTCTGGCTCATCTTCCAGTCCCTTTGGAAGCATGCCCAGCTTGGGTGGCGGTGACTCCTCTTCCTCCGACTCCTCCAGCCCCTTCGGAGACCTACCCGGCCTTGGTGGTAGTGGCTCATCCTCCTCCCAATCCGGCGACTCCCCCTCACCCTCCAGCGGCTCATCCTCGTCCGGCGGAATCCCCGACTTCCTCAACGGCCTCGGAGGCTCTTCCAGCGATTCTTCTAGCTCTGCCCAGCCCTCCAGCAGCGACGCTCTCAGCGGGCTCTCCGGTATCTTTGGCGGGCTCGGAGGCGACTCCTCCCAGTCTTCCAGCGGCCCTTCTAGCTCCTCCCAGCCCTCCAGCAGCGACCCCTTCGGCGGACTCTCCGGCATCTTGGGCTCTCTCGGGGGCGGCTCCAGCTCCTCCCAACCCTCCGGCAGCTTCTCTAACCCCTTCGGCGGCTCCTCTTCCTCTTCCTCTTCCTCCGACTCTTCTACCCCGGCTCAGCCCAGCGGCAGTGCTCCCCAGCCCAGCGCTGCCTTCCCCAGCATCAGCCTCCCTGAGCCCAGCAGCAGCAGCAGCTCTTCCGACTCCAGCGACAGCGACTCTTCTTCCTCTGCATCGGACTCCGAGCCCTCTCTCAGCCTTCCGACTCCGTTGGCGTTCTCGCCCGGTGGTCCGAACATCCCGGCTCCTTCGTCTAGCTCGGCTATTCCTACCAGCTCGGCTGTTCCTACTAGTGCGGCTGTGCCGACTGCGCCGTCTTCGTTTAAGCAGTTCTTTGCTTAGAAAATGGTCGACACGGGTTGTAAACAGATCGGTGGGTAGAGAAGTAGGTAGATGGGATGAACGGGCGGAGGAATTGAGGTGGTGAGGATGGATTAGGTGGATGTGGTTAGTTATGTCATGCTTGCTGGTCAGGATATGAAGATATGGATTTTACATTGGTGGTTCGTATGCTGAGATGGTTGTGCTGTGTACCTAGATTGTCAATGAGATGGATGGTCAGTTGGTCGTTTAAGTGTGGTTCATACCGTAGTAGTAATCTGTTCTGTGAATTGATCTTTGGTATTTCAAAACATCTTTGTTTTAGGGAGGTAGCCAAGGTGGAGGAGTGATTAGAAACGTCCTGGCTGTCAAATAGGTGATATATATGCCACGCGCAATCCTCGGGTGGCATTGAACGTATCCAATTAGTTGCCTTAACATGTAAAACCAAACAGCATTCTATATCATGCAAACCTACATAGAATACATAGCTTAAGAACCTATAGACCCCTCATTAGTCATCTACCGATACTCTACAAGCCCACAATATTCCGCTGATTCTATGTATGCGAGTAGCCATCACGAACTAGTAAACTCTAATATACACATCGCAAGTTGGACTTCTCCAACACCTCCTCAAGGAAGCCAAACATCCACCTCTAACTCCACGCGGTGTTCCGCAAACGGCAAACTCTCGATCCCCACCGTTGTGAAAAGCGCCTGGTGATTCGGGCACGCTTTCTTGATGTGTCGCACCATGATTGCCCGGGCTTCGCCCCGCACCGCAGACAATCCAACAACGTAGGCGTGCAACTTGACGACATACTCCGCCTGTTGGAAGGTCCGCTCGATGAGAGATTTGATATTCTCGAATGCCTAGGCAACTTGATCTTCCAGGTCAGGAGAGGTCTGAGACGTGTATGGATTCATTGGAGTTTGGACGGTCAGTTGAGTACTGGCCTACGGGATAGGTACGCGAACTTACTCTGGCCGGTGACAATGAGGCGGTCACCAATGATGCAGGCATCGCTGAAGCCGTATTGCTGGCGGCATTGCTCCCCGAAGCCGGGCAGAGAGTAGTATGTGAAAGAGGACATGGCGAGAGACCAAGTGATACTATATCTCATGAAATTGATTGGAGATAGATACTATCAACTATAGGTATTTCATCACTATTATACTTAGATTAGAGCACTATACAGCAGCCAAGTCCGAGATAGATTAGGTTAACTAATCAACTATGGCTCCGCTTCGTCAGCGGAGGGACCAGAATACTTTGGCTCCATTGACCCACTTACGCACCATTGCCAATCCCCCAACGTCCGGATCGGAACCATCCCCTCGGTGTGCACGAATTTTGGCATCGTTTGGCTCCGATTTATGACAGTATGATTTTGGTGACTCGGAGTGGGAGTTGAACTAGTATCAAGGTGATCGGCGTGTCGGAAACCTGGCCATGGCTATTTTGCAACGGATAGCGGATAGGTATAAACCCCACGCAGGAACGCCCTTCGCTTCGCAGATCAGGGTCGCCGAATGCCGCGAGGTATCCACACCATCGCCTCCGGACTTGACGGCTAGAAGCTGAATTGCAATCCATTCGCTCTTTCGAATGATCCCGCCGTTGGCGATGCCGGCAAGATCGTTTTCTGCGTGGCTTGGCCAGCCGCAGCCGCACCAATGGACTATTCCGCGTCCATCCAGAGTCCAGTGCTTGGCGGGACAGTCAGCGCGCGCATCTGTGGCCGCGATGGATGAAGAAGCATTGAGTGGCTTTCGTGCTTTCGTAGAGCATGTAGGGATTATACCTGCCCTGGAATCATCTCATGCTGTTTATGGTGCTATGGAGCTAGCGAAGACGATGAAAAACAACCAGCATATAATCATCTATTTGAGAGGTAGAAACGATAAGATGTTCAAAACGTCGCGGGTCACCCTCCAGTATGGGGCCCAAGAAGGCACGGATGACGGCCGGGTTTAGGAAACATGTCTTCTTTCGGCTGTACGGAGAACTTTAGACGCGGTAAGGCGGACCAATCCGATACCCAGAGCACTCAATAGATATCGAGATATGTCCGCCACACGTGTTGTAAAACAGACTCCATAACTTTGCATTTCTGTGGTTAGCCTGAGTTTGATAAATTGCGGTGTGCACAGCACCTGCAGATACATTTGACTCATTGGTCAACAATGTCCGGGATATGCAGCCACACGCACATTAGCCCGGGGTCAAAGCTAAAGGAACCTCCTGCGTCATATCCTTTTCTCTAGGCTCATCTCGATCATACATCTGCCATGCATTCTCGATGAACCCTCTCTTCCCAATAAAATACAAGTTTTATGAGATGTCTCTACTAAAATATCGGTCATCTAGTCAGGTCTTATTCCGTGGTTGTGGACGGTAACCATACAGTAGGGTTCCATATTCGTCTCTGTCGTATACAGCTTGACCGTACTGTATCAAGCCATGGCTAGCCCTTCCCACCTATCACATCGAGTCATTCATCTTACTTGCAGCAGGACTATCTTCAGCTGAGCCTCGTCTGCAGGCCTCAGCCTTGTGAACATGAATGTTTGGTCTGATCGAGACAGTTCCACATGTTCCGCTGACTCACCCGACTCGAAGCAACCGACACGCTGGTGGCCATAGGGCCCAGGTGCTATTCATATAGATCTTGTAGATTCATCAAGGTGGTGAAAGACTAAGTCTTGACGAAGGTGTAGTTTTCGGAACTATCCTCGCTCTGGACCCAACGTTTGTCTGCAGTTCGAGGCTTGATAAGCACAAGCCATGCTTGGAGATCTTCGGTTTCTCCCTCGTTTAATTTGTCTTATCACATTAGGTCATCGGCAGTACTCAGGGGCGTACGTTCCCACGAGTGTAATTCAGGGCTTTGGACCGCAGGGCGCGGGCGCGGGCGCGGGCGTCCGAGGCCGGGGATCGAAGGATTGACACTCAGTTAGTAGATTACACTGCCTTGTTTTTGAGAAGGAAAAAAAGAAAACAAAAGCAAAAATAGAGATGGATTCGCTGTGTCGAGTGGGGCGAGGCTATCAAACACAAGGCCCTGAAGTGCGACCTGTTAGCACCCCCAGAAAGCAAACATGCAGCCTTGCTTACGCAGCTAAGCTGAAACTACCCCTCAAGCCCCAAAGGCTCGACGCATCGGTTTATTTCGCCCACCTCTTACATTGCTCGTGGCTTTCTCTTCCAGATACCGTGTGCTGGGCTCCTCTTGCGCCTCTACAGTCGTCAAATATATCATGCCTGGATCCACCTCCAATCTCACACCAGTACAGAAAGATTGTTCACCGCGAGCCTCCCAACAAAATCAGGACATAACACCTTTCTTGATCGACCATGCCGGGGCGAGGTCTAACGCTCCTCTCACTCGATGGTGGAGGGGTACGCGGATTGAGCAGTCTGCACATTCTCAAGCATTTGATGGAGAGAATCAAGGATGAGAAAGGACTGGCAGAAGAGCCCAAACCATGCGAGTACTTTGATATGATAGGGGGTACAAGTACTGGAGGGTATGCTTTACTTGAATGGGTCAATATAACGTTTAATCCGACCTGTTGGGCTGACACTGCTTCATCAGCCTGATCGCGATCATGCTAGGACACCTGCGGATGAGCGTCAACGAGTGCATTCGGGCCTATCTTAGACTCACCCAGCGCGTATTTACCCCAATTCGATCGAAGTACGTATCGCTCGGGTTTTCTAGGCACTTGGGAGATGTGGTCAGCCGATTTGACTCAGCCGCCCTGGAGGAAATAGTCAAGAGAATCATACGTGATGCATCATTGGACCCCGATGCGCTGTTCTACGACGAGGATCGTGCTTCGCAATGCAAAGTGTGGGTAGTCCAAATTTGATTAACAAAACATGTCTATGCGATCAATGCCATCGGCGTTTTCCACTAACAATGCGTTTCCGTAGGTTTGTTTGTGCGCTCCAGTCGGAAATAGCCACCCCCGTGTTGCTCACCAACTACAAAAGCAAGAGATCCGATTCCGATCGTCGCGAATCAGTCAAGATCTGGCAAGCTGCTCGAGCCACCTCAGCGGCTTCTGGTTTCTTCGATGCACAAGAGATTGAGATGTCGGCGGGCTATGTAGAGACCTACACTGACGGCGCCACGGGCTACAACAACCCCATCCGACAGCTCTGGACTGAGGCACGGGACGTTTTCCTACCCCCGGGGGAACGTCTCGAAGGTCATCTTGATGCCATCATTTCTATCGGGACGGGCACCCCGGCACTACAGGCTTTTGGAACAAACTTGAAAGATATCGCAACAGCCCTCGTGCGGATCGCGACCGAGACAGACAATACAGCCAACCATTTTCAGCGCGAATACAAGGAACTGGATCGTGATGGGCTGTATTGCAGATTGTCAGTCGCCAACGGTCTGCAGGATATTGGACTGGAGGACCACCAGGAGGCGAACAAGATAATGGCGGCAACCAAGGCTTATTTGGATCATCCGGACACTGTATCCAAATTGACGAAGTGCCTAGAGCGGATGAGCCAGCATGAATGTGAGGTTGACTATAGATAGGGTGTCGTTAGCATACTAAGACTTTGCCAGGTCTGTATGAAATGAGTTCCACCGATCGAGCGCGAAACCAGGAAGCCCATCTCCCTTTCCCCAGTAAGAAGCAATGCAAATGCAGTCACCCCCCTCTAATGAGTCTAGAGAACTGACTCCGGCCCAGCATCTACGGCAAGAGCCCTCGAGCTCCTTGACTCTATCTCTGCTTATAACCATGATCGCGTCCAACTCTCACTTGCTCAGGAAAGGTCGCCAGGCACGGCTGAGTGGATCTTCGAAAGTGATCAGTATAAGAAGTGGTGGAACGCAGATCACACTTCCTTCCTACTATGCACTGGCCCTAGTAAGTAAACCGAACTGATACTATCCCCCGTCTGAGCGTTTGTAGGCTAACACGACCATCTAGTTGGTTGCGGAAAGACCATTCTCGCGTAAGTATACCTCCCTGATTATACAACTTTATAACAAGACGGTCTTGCCATCTCAATACTTCTCCATGCTTACCTGATGTTCTAGTACATTTGTGATAGAGAACTTGTTGAAGCAGAGTAACCCCGTCTTCTATTACTTTTGCCACGAGTCATGGGAAGCTTCCCCAGATGCTCAAAGTATATTGCGGTCGATTCTCAAGCAGATTGTTCTCTTCTGCGCCCGAACAAGGCAACCCTTGTCGGATGCGGCAGTCGCACGCCTCGAGGAAGCTTCGAAAGAGAGTACAGAACTCGATGCCCGTGAACTCATAATCAATCATTTGCACCTCCTTACAGACGCATTTCTGATTATCGATGGGCTTGATCTGCTCGAGGAACCACACATCAGCCAAATTCGGGAGACCTTGGTCACTATCTCTCGAAGCTCGCAAGTACATCGCCTCAAAACCGCGCTGTTCTATCAGACGACCCTGGCTAGAGGTGTCGACCTCAGCACTCAGTGGAAGGATACCATTCAACTGCCGCTCTCGATAGACCATCTGGGAAGCGATATCAGAACTTTCGTCAATACTGAAGTAGATCGAAAACAACAGTATCGCAAGATTACGGATAGTGCGTTGACGTTGGAGTGGATCAAAACGGAGCTGGTATCTCGAGGCGAGCAGATGTGCGTATACCATTGAGTTCAGTTGCACCAACAGCTGGGGACAGGACTGATATAATCGACAGGTTTCTATGGATAGTGCTTCAGCTGGACAGCCTCTGGACCGATGTTTATAGTGAAGCCGACATTCGGGACAGAATGAACCAACTTCCTCGTGGGTTGGAATCCACATACAACCGTTGCCTCGAGCAGATCGTGAGAGTGAAGGACGGCAAGCAGGAACAAATGGCGCACAAGATCATGTTGTGGACACTGTGTGCGGCAAGGCAATTGACAACTGCAGAGACCCAACGGCTAGTCGCCCTGGATGACAAGGATGAAGAAATCCACTCTGAGCAGTTCTTGAATCACGACCCGACTGCGTATTGTGCTAACCTTCTGGTTCTCGGATGCGGCGGTCCGCAATTCACCCACCCCTCGGTGAAGCAGTTCCTCACCGATCCATCAAAGCTGGACCCGGAGCTGAAGTGGGAAGCTCTTCCTCTCAAAGTAGCGAATTGCCGGGTTGGCAGATTATGTGGGATGTTCATGAAGAGATACTTGCAACTGGTGCCGCGAGGGCGCACAGCGAAAACCCCTGTCGATGTGGCTCTGAATGTGATGAGGGGAGTTCTTACAAACCCCTTCGTCCAGGGTATCGTGGATTCCCCTTTTGGCCTCAAGGTTGTCGATGCCTCGATTCGCCAGAAGGTGATGATTTCCATCGACCAAATCACACACAATGCCCGGCATGTTCACTCGCAAGCAGCGTCACCTCAACCAGCGCATGCTACTGATCCTGACGACTTCGCCCCGATTACGCATTACATCTATCAGAACTGGCTTTTTCATACAGCTGATATGACTCGTGCTGAATTCCGCGAGCAGTTTTTTCATTTCTGTTTATATAGCGATGCCTGGTTACCATGGCAAAGCGAAGGTAAATACGAGGTCAAGCATCTTCGGAACCTGATTCAACGTGCCATCTCAGTAGCCCATAACCCCCTTCTCTATCTTGCCTGTGACCAGGTAGAGAAAATGGACAAATACAACGCAGTCTTTGGAAAGCCCTTAGCCAGTGATCTACTACCCATCGATTACACCATCACCACGGGTAACCTCGAAATGGTGAAGATATTGATGTTGTACTATGGTCGACATATGAGCCTCGGTGGCCATTTCACAAACGCAGTGTTACACGCCGCGCGCTGCAACAATAGTGACATTCTGGAGTACTTTAAGACAGTGCTACCGAGTATCTTGGGAGAAGCTTCGACCATTGATTCGCTCTTTGACATTATTATCGCCAATGACAATCCGTCCCTCCTACAATGGTGGCTTTACACGTTTCCAGGCAGAAGGCAGACCGAAAGCGTCAGGAACCAGTTCCTGAAAGCGGTGTTGGAGATATGCAAGACTCACGTTGAAAAGACGGCGTGCCTCATCCCCCTCCTGGAACAGTGGGTAAGGATGGAAGCTGCGTCGACAGCACAAACGGCCCTTCTTACTCGAGTGAACTCTATCAGTCTACCCAAAGATTGCTTGCCAGTGATTGTTCAAGTTGGCAAAACTTCCCCTGTCGAAATCACTCTATCACAGCTGGAGTTACTCACTCCGGGGGATACGGATAGTCTTCTGGATACCGCCCTAACTCTACCTCTCAGTAATGCCTTGCCCATTCTCCAAGTGATCATCTTGCACAACCGAAGAAAGGAAGAACACTGGGTCAAAGAATCCATTCTAGGGCCTAGGGATCAATTTTCCAGACGCCTCCTGCCTTGGCTGAAACAGCTCTTCTGTGCCATTGTACCAGAGAACGGGGCGATCATCACGGACGAGCTGCAAGCCTCCACACTGTTACAGTTGCTGGAAGTGCTCCCTGACGAGGCTCTCGTTGATCTTCTAGCTAGCCATTGTCCAGATTGCCAGCTGCACGACCGCTGGAACCACAATATCCTCTACGCGTTGGCGCATCGACCCACGGCACAAGCGTTGCAAGTACTCAAGGCCCGCAACCTTCTACCGCAATTGGACCTGAATGCAACCGATGACTACGGCTGGGGCCCCCTGCACGTTGCGGCCACCCGCGGTTACAACGAGGTCGTGATCTTTCTTCTCGTGCACGGTGCCGACCCCCAGCGGCGAAACGACCGATCAGAGACCCCAGCCAAACTCGCCGAGATGAGCGGCGCCACCCCGACCATCGCAATCCTCGACCGTTGGGAGAACAGCCCTATCGGGGTTCTTCATCGGGCCTTCATGGAACAGCACGCTACCGCTCTGCAGACCCACCCGGGGATGGAGTGGGAGTGGGCATTGCAGCTCTCAGTCTGGCGAGCATTGGATAATCTATACGCAAAGGCAGAGGATGCCGGGAAGCCCATCTCGTCTGTCACTCTAGACTCGGTGGCCAGAGGCATCCGAGTTACTTCTCCATCTTCCTTTCCCGACGACTATTCATACTACATGAGGTCACGACAGATGTGGATCAGACAATAATATCTATATTTATATCAGAATCTAACCCAGGGTCCCCCAAATCAATTACTCCGTCCAGAGTATATAGTTCACTGGTAAGATTTTTCTCTTAACTCACAGCACACGGGAATCCATTCGTCCATGCTATGTTTGTCCTGATGAAGGTGATAATTCAGAGAATCATCCCGGGGGCTATCCACCCAAGGGAGGCTAGGCCATCAATCCTGCTAGAAAATACTGTAAATATGCAGTGATACAAAATAGAATGGGCATTATAGTACCCCTTAGACCCAATTCATGAATGTTACTCTGTTCTTTTGACCATAAAATATTAAATTGCCCTTAATTACTAGATACTGAGACGAGCACTTGCCCAAAAAACAAGCAAGACACAATACCACTGCAGAGGTGTAAACATATGCAGCGTATTCAAAGTGTATTCAAGTAAACACGTCAGTCGCATAACGCATGCTCGCCTTCAAGTGATCGAAGAACTTTTCAACCTCTTCATCATTCACCTCAGGCGGGACATCTTCCTGCTTCGCCTCCAGCGCTACCCGACGTCGCTCCTTCATCACATCGACGTAGATATTGTTAAACGCTTGGCGCACGGCCTTGCCTAGTTCCGCACTTCCACAAACATAGATCCTAGCCCCCTGCTCAAATAGCGAGACTACTTCGTCTCGGTCACTTGTAATCCGGTCCTGGATGTGCTGGGCTACGGAGCCGTCGGCGGGACGGCTGTATGCCCATCTGACGTCGACGATACCCTTGCGAGACCATTCAGCGAGCTCTTCTGCGTGAATATCGTCCTTGCCTTTGGTGCGACAGCCGACATAGAGAATAGCCGGGGCGGGCTTTTCGGTAATAGAGTCGCTTCGGCTGAGGATCTTTTCAGCCCGGTCCATGACAAAACCGCGGAAAGGCCCTAAGCCGCTTCCTGCGCAGGCCATTATCATTGGCGTGTTCAGGTCGGAGGGGGGCTTGAAGCCTGAGTGGGAGGGACGGACAGCGATGTGAACGCGTTCGTCGGGTTGGAGAATGGAAAGGTAGGTAGAGGCTACGCCCATGTACGGCTCGTCTGTGCCGGAGAGAGAGGGTGCGTTGAGCACAGACACTGTAATTGAGCATTCTGTCGGGTCCGTAAGGGGTGAGGATGAAATAGAGTACTGGCGTACTCGCATGGGCGGAAGCATGGCTAGGTAGTCGCCGAGCGGTAGGCTGATGGAAGGATAACGATCCAAGATGTCCAGCAAGCTGAGGCGCTTGGTGACAACCTCCTCATTGAAGCGGCTAGGACTGTTGGCCATGTATCGCAGCTCGGCCTGGGATTCTTCGTCGGCCACGGCTGCATCTGCCAGGGCAATCAGGTCTCGTTTGGACGCGGGTTGGGACAGTTCAACATAGGAGGAGAGGAGAGCGAAGGCGGAGATAGGGGTGTCAATGGGAATGGCTGACGGTCCGCTTTGGGTCTGGGATGGCTTGCGAACGGTTAAAAAAGCATCCCAAGGCAGTTTGAACCGACGCATTGCTCGACGGACGATGCTCGTTGGGTTCACAGGAAGCACGGCAAGGTAATCACCGCACTGGTAGGTCATGTCGCTTGGAAGCTTGATCCTCACCAGTCGTTTCGCTGAAACGTCGGGTGCTGTTAGGAGCTGGTTCTCAATCACATATCCTTCCTGCAGCTGAAGACCCAAGGTTGTCACTCGCTTTTCTGAGCTAAATTCGACTTGTAGGCCTCCACTGGCTTTCTTGCCTGCCTGGCCCTGACCTTTGGAGCCAAATTTAGCGCTTATGGCAGGCCATAACGTCGACTCACTCCAGTTATCGAAATCAGTAAACATGTCTGCGACGGCGGTATCAACTAATCCAATATCACACAAGCGATTCCCACCATGCTCGCCCACCAGCTCGTTGATGGCTTTTGGAATCCGGTAAAAGGTGGCAGTCCAATCATCTTGATAGAATCGGTGATCAGCGAAGTTACACAGAACAGAAACCACATGGATGATAAGGGAGACTCACGATGTCCACAACCGAATACGGCATAATTTATGCCCTCGAGTTCATTATCCTTCGCTCCGCTTAGCCACTCGAAAAAGTGGGCCGCATTGTCAGCGGGTTGGCCTTCATAAGATGCAGCAATGAAAACCACAGGAGCTCCTTTCGGAACATTCTCAGTGGCGGAATCTAACGAATTGACCTTGGCACTAAATCCCCATGCGGCTGCATCATCTGCCAATCTCCGAGCCAAAGCCTCGCAGGTTCCGGTGTTGCTACCGAAGAAAATGTGCATCGGCTTCATGTCTCCCTCAGGAAGGGCTGCCTCTTTCTTACGTTCCCTGCTAGCTACCTTGGAAGATTCAGGAGGCACGGATCCACTGTTCAAAGCTGACTCCAACGTTATCGGGTCCAGCCCATGCCTGAGAGTAGCTCTCATCTTGAAATCCTGCGGCTTGATAGTGAGCGTCTGTTTGATCCGCAGGTCATAGCTTGGATCATCCAGCTGAAAGTTAAAATTTTGCAACAGCAAAGCAATCGCCAGTAAGCCTTCTTGCCAGGCAAATGGCCGCCCAATACAACCTCGCATGCCATTTCCAAAAGGCTTCCAGGCGTTCCGAGGAAGATTGTTGAAATTCTCATCCAGCATCCTCTCCGGCTTGAACTCCTCGGCGTCCGCACCGTAGACCTTGGGGTCGCGGTGTAATTTCGGGAGAAGCACTGTGATTGGCTCGTCCTTGTTTAGAACGTATTTTCCATTGCCCAAGGTCACAGGGTCTTCTTTGTTCTTAGTCGGATGCGCATGGACTCTTATGGCACTCGCCGGGGGATTAAGGCGTAGTGCTTCTCGCATGACTGCATTGATATACGGCAACTTGGGGAGATCATCCACGGTAATCTTCCGTCGGCCAATCACCCTGTCCACTTCTTCCTGTGCCTTTTTATACGCAGGTGCATTTTTGAGTAGATAATAGAAAACAAAGGACAGCATTCCAGATGTAGTTTCGTGGCCTGAGGGAGGAAAAAGGTCAGAACATGATAGATCACAACGACCAAACTCAGACAAAGTACCTACCTGCAATCAAAAAGGTAATCATGTTGTCAATGATCGACTCATCACTGAGGCCCTTCCCTGACTGAGGGTCTCGGCCAAGGATGAGAGCGTTGAGCAGGTCCTTCTTGTCTGATGGATGCTTCCTCCTATCTTCGGTCAACTCCTTCGCCAAATTTCTCATATAAGAAATATCGTTCCAGAAAGAATTGTTATCGCTCGTGGGCAGTTGGTTTAACAAAGATGGGCGCTGTGCCCTATAGCTAGCTACCTGCAGCCCACCAACCATCGCTTCTACGAAGGGGTGCATGCTATCGTGGTAGAAAGAGTTGAAGCGGGTTCCCATGGCGCAGAGAGCGATGGAGTCGAGAGTCAGGCGGGTGAAATCTTCCGTGACCACAATGGGAGTCTCAGGTCCCTGTCGAGCCCATTTCATGACGAGCTGGTTGGCAATGTCTTGCATCTCTGTGGCAGATTGACAACTCATTAGTCCGATGCAATAGTGGTCCATTCGGCGATGGGGCTGCTTACCATCGAACATGGCCCTAATAGATAGGGGCCCAAAAGCAGGAATAAGGACACGGTGCGCAAGCGCCCAATTCTCTTCGCCGGGGTACCGGGCTGTGAATAAACCATCGTGAAGAAGATGGCGAAGCTGGCCCAAACCACCATCTACCGATTTAGCGAATCGCTCCTCATTGCACGCTTCATCAACGAGTTCTTGAGTAGAAATCACCACTCTCGACACGCCGAAAGTGGTCAGGCGGTAGATTGGACCTTGGCAGATGCATCACAGTTAGCAGAGATGAATCAACTCAATGAGAGGAAGAAAGAGTCAAGGCTAGCTGACTCTGGAGTGAGACGCAAAAGGGATAGAAAAAGGAAACATGACATTGTGGAGGGGTAAGGGCGGGGTTACCATATTGATCTGCCAGCAACTCAAAGCTTCGGATTGGCATCTCCTGGTCAATATCGTAGACATTTCCCAGAAATGGAACGCCTTTGGGGCCTGGGATAGGAACATGCTTTACGCTGCTCATGATGGTATCTGGATATGGAGTGGTGCCAATTACACTAGAGCTCTTGATAGAGAAGATGATTAGTTCTCACAAAAGGTCTGGTGGAACAAACAACACGGGGTTTAAGTTTCTCTCAGCGACCATAGATCACCTGACGGACACACTTTGATGAGTCGAACTGAACTGGAGAGGGGACAGACATGCATGCAGGAAGGAGACTTTATACCTCGTAGAAAATTGAAAATATTGCGGTCGGAGGGAACGTATGCCTGATGATGGTGCATAAGTCCAGTGCAGATGAAGTGTCATCACTCCCCGCCATCATCTGCGGAAGGGAATCCCCAGCCAGAAGGCCGCCCGACTGCAGTGCATACCAGGGCAACCATACTTAGTGGCGAACGTCATGGGGCTGATGAGAGTGGATCATGTTACAATGTAGATCAATGAGTCCAGAGGACGGGATCGTAATGGAGTAACAGCGCATCTACCGCGGCCTGTAAGCACTAGCGGGAACCTCGGCCAGCCAGAGATGGAGGTTTACTATTCATAGCTGGGGCATGAATTATGATTAGCAACGGGGGGCATATGATCGGTCCATCGGTATGTCGGACACGGAGATCGGTGACAACGGACCGATGGCTGAAGTTAGTAGAGACTCCGTGACAACTCCAAAGTAAGTAAAAGCAACGATCCCATGGATGCTCTTCTTTTATGCCACTTATGCGTTTCGGTGGATCCAGATGATGCTTGGTATGTGCGTATGATCAGTCATCATGGCCCCCACTTTGCTATCGAACTGGTCTCGTGGCGCAATGGTAGCGCATTAGTTTCCGGTACTAGAGGTTGTGCGTTCGAGTCGCACCGGGATCGTTCTTTCCTTTTTGCCATCCGACGGTTGTATTACTTTCTTTTTTGCACCGCATCTCACTTAACAAGCATCCTTGCGTCATTTAAATCTCCGTCTTGAACCGTGTTCCCGGCTCACAACCTTATCGCTCAGTCTCGAGGCCTGTCCACCGTGCTGAAGCGGCCGCATATGCGAATGCCTAGAGATAATACACCCATCAATAATAATGATAGTAGAGCACCGGAGATGATCGTAGGCGCGCTACAGGACGTGACAGACGGCGGTATGACTCGGTCGGCATCACGATGGAAGCACTATACTACATAGATAGG